TAGTTTATGGTAGGACCCGGTGGGACCCGTCATAAAATTTCCAGGAACCGGTCTGGACCCATATGGGTCCAGACTGGTTCTTTGGACCGGGTCCTCGGGTCCACATTTTGCCACCTCTAGTCAGAGCCCCTCAGGTCACGAAGCTGGGCAAAGGGTATCATATGGCATATCATTCGATTCGGAAGGTCTTCCCGAGTCCATTGGTGGCTTTTCCGACTCTCTAGCTCCATTTGATCGGGAGTTATTGACGAAAAACTCGTACGACCCTAGTGACGTCATAAATGACGTCACGCAAGGTTAACAATGCAAAAGTGAAGCATTGGACTTTGCAAGGAGTGCATAAAATCACAATCCATGTACGTGAGATAGTTTTAGATCATTTTCGGCGACAAAATAACAGTTTTTGTATTTTCCCATTGATTTATAACAGTGATGTCACCAGTGGCGGCGGAAGGTATTTTGGGATGGGGGGGCACACCTGATCCTTCCCGGAACCTAGGGTACCCCCAAATCTAGTTTTCTCACCGGTTTTAGGCCACTTATTTTTCACCTCTTGGCCTTTACAACAAAAATAAAAAATAAAACATTTGCAAATAAGTGAGATAATTAGTCTCATCTGAGTCAAGAAACTACCTTTTTGGTAACCTGGAATAAACGTTTAAAGTATCACTGATGTTAGTTGTCGGACTTTCGTCCCCGTCTTGAGTTGAGATGTTAGTTTCACAACGTTTCGGCCAGTTACTTCTCCGGCCGTCGTCAGGTGTTCTTTGGCCCTTAGAAGGACCTGGATGTTGGTGGCGTTGCGCCGTACGCGTCATACCGTTCGAAAGCTCCTGTAGTCAGCGGGAATCGAACTCGGGTTTCCCCGGTGATAGTCCACGGTTCTAACCACTCCACTATCGAGGCAGACATCGTTATGGAGCTGGAAACTTGGTGTCATTTATCCCCCAGATGTTTTTGTGATTTCCTTAGTAGTGGGAGCCATATTGGGCTGATGTCAACGCTTGGCTTGCTGATGGGGTTGCTAGCCAGCGCCATGTGTGCGGCTTCCTTGATTTTTCTGATTTTCCAGTGTGGCTCCTTGTCGATGATGGTGGTATCATCCCAAGCAGGTCTGTGATCTCCTTCAGACCATGCATGCTCCGCCACACCGGATTTCAGTGTTTCGCCTCGGATGGTGGCCTTCCTGTGTTCTTCGAGCCTGACCGCCAGTGGGCGGCCAGTCTCGCCCTTGTATGACCTGCCGCAGCTGCACGGGATGTCGTATATGCAGTTCTTTGTTTGCTCCTTGGTGGTTGGCGGTCTGACCTTTGTGAGTGACCTGCGGAGGGTGGTGGTACTTCTGAACACCGTCCTGATGTTGTATGCTCCGCAGATTCGCCTTAGCTTCTCTGACAGTCCTCTGTTGTATGGGAGGGATACTGTCGCGATTGGCTTATCCCTTGGTTGTTGTTGGGATGCTTCCTTGGGTTTGTGTTTCATGAAGCTCGTTGGGTATCCGTTTCTCCTGAAGGTGCTGGTAAGGCGTGACATTTCCATCTTTCTGGCTGCTTCGTCTCCACAGATGTTGGTGGCTCGGGTCTGCAGGCATCTTACGATACCTTTCTTGACTGTGTCTGGGTGGTGTGACTTGAAGTTGAGGTAGCGGTCGGTCGCTGTTGGTTTGCGGTAGACCGATGTTCTGAATGCTTCCTCAGATTTCTCCACTTGGACGTCAAGGAATGGTAGTTTGTTGTCGACTTCTGTTTCCATTGTGAATTGGATGGAGGGTCGGAGGCTGTTGAGGTGGTCTAGGAACGGTGTTATGTCCTCGCGATGGTCCCACAGGACGAATGTGTCGTCGACATATCGCAGCCACAGGGATGGTTTCAGTGGTGCTGTTTGTAAGGCCAGTTCCTCGAAGTGTTCCATGTAGATGTTGGCGATCACCGGTGACAGGGGTGAACCCATGGCCATTCCTTCAGTTTGTTGGTAGTAGTCATCGCCCAGTTGGAAGGCGGTGGTGGTGACACAGAATGTCAGGAGTTCCATGATGTCATCAGTCGGGATTGTCGTTCTTTCGGGCAGTGTATCGTCGCTCTCCAGTCTTGTCCTCACTATGCTCAGAGCTTCGGTAGTGGGCACATTGGTGAACAGACTCACCACATCGAAGCTTACCATTTGCATGTTCGGCGAAGGTCGCATGGCCTGAACCAGTGAGACGAAGTGGGCTGAGTTCTTGACATATGTAGGTGTTTTGCCACTCAGTGGGTTGATGATCTTGACGAGGAACTGGCTCAGAGGATGGCAGGCTGAGCCACGGCAGCTTACTATTGGTCTTAGCGGTACATTGGTCTTGTGTACCTTTGGCAGCCCGTACATGTGTGGAAGTTTGCCGACCGCTACCTCAACTTCAAGTCACACCACCCAGACACAGTCAAGAAAGGTATCGTAAGATGCCTGCAGACCCGAGCCACCAACATCTGTGGAGACGAAGCAGCCAGAAAGATGGAAATGTCACGCCTTACCAGCACCTTCAGGAGAAACGGATACCCAACGAGCTTCATGAAACACAAACCCAAGGAAGCATCCCAACAACAACCAAGGGATAAGCCAATCGCGACAGTATCCCTCCCATACAACAGAGGACTGTCAGAGAAGCTAAGGCGAATCTGCGGAGCATACAACATCAGGACGGTGTTCAGAAGTACCACCACCCTCCGCAGGTCACTCACAAAGGTCAGACCGCCAACCACCAAGGAGCAAACAAAGAACTGCATATACGACATCCCGTGCAGCTGCGGCAGGTCATACAAGGGCGAGACTGGCCGCCCACTGGCGGTCAGGCTCGAAGAACACAGGAAGGCCACCATCCGAGGCGAAACACTGAAATCCGGTGTGGCGGAGCATGCATGGTCTGAAGGAGATCACAGACCTGCTTGGGATGATACCACCATCATCGACAAGGAGCCACACTGGAAAATCAGAAAAATCAAGGAAGCCGCACACATGGCGCTGGCTAGCAACCCCATCAGCAAGCCAAGCGTTGACATCAGCCCAATATGGCTCCCACTACTAAGGAAATCACAAAAACATCTGGGGGATAAATGACACCAAGTTTCCAGCTCCATAACGATGTCTGCCTCGATAGTGGAGTGGTTAGAACCGTGGACTATCACCGGGGAAACCCGAGTTCGATTCCCGCTGACTACAGGAGCTTTCGAACGGTATGACGCGTACGGCGCAACGCCACCAACATCCAGGTCCTTCTAAGGGCCAAAGAACACCTGACGACGGCCGGAGAAGTAACTGGCCGAAACGTTGTGAAACTAACATCTCAACTCAAGACGGGGACGAAAGTCCGACAACTAACATCAGTGATACTAACACCTCGTCTCAAGCATTCAGAAGAACTATAAACGTTTAAAGCTTCCACACATGAGCTGTCAAGTCAGGTACGTACAGAGGGGGATTTTTTTACTTAAATAGGTATTGTCTTCCATTCAGCTTTTCTTTGAGGCCCTCGGCCGCTAATATGGGGAGTACAAGCTGCCCCGACGGTTCCTGGCCCTTTGAAACTTTGCGGGGGCAGAGACCCCCACGGCCCCAGAGTTGTGGGGGCAGGCTGCCCCCATGCTGCCCCCCGGCTCACGCGCCTATGCCGGCTGGCGTCTGGCAGAGTCGCGGGGAAAGGCCTGTGGCACGCTCAGACGCACTTTCGTGACGTCCGTGCCGCCTGCCGGGCCACTCGCGTTCCGTCCTACTCTTCCAGACTTCGGTTACCGGTAGCTCGTAGATAGCTCTGCTTGATTTCTGAGCATTATGTGTGGAGGGCGTTTGGTGGAAATAGTCCGTCACGGACTAGCTCGCCGGATAGCCCGTCGTGAAAACGGCTATTATCAATCCAAGTTACTCGCTATATCAACTTAATAAAAAGGTACTCAGCCAAACTGGCATATGTTCCTGACGTAGGTACTAGGTAGTATGGAAGTATTGTGGTACTTCGTCGATAACAATTTTGGGGGGGCAAAAAGATATGTTTGCCCCCCCACCCTGGAAGATGGGGGGGCGCCGTGCCCCCGCTGCCCCCCCGCTTCCGCCGCCACTGGATGTCACGTGACCGACCTGACCTCATGTAATCTTAAAAAATTCCCAGATATATACAAGTTGTGAGACCTCTGGAGGACACCATGTATGCGTCCTGTAACTTTCATCTCGGACAGCTATGGTCATTGGCGTCCAAAACAATGTCAGAACCAAACAGCCTTTTTCACCCTCGCGCTTATAGGAAAGAGGGTCGGATGAACCCTCTTTTCACTTTTTTCAGATGACTCAGACTTCAATTGAAATTTCAGTAAACCGTGATGTCACTAGGCAGCTTTACCACGCCATTTGTAAGCTCCCCTCCCGAAATCACTATTCGAAACAGTTATCGTGACGTAAAACAAATACATTTATAGAAAGAACACCTTCCTAATTTTTTGCACACTTCTTAACAATGAGGCAAATATTTTTTTTAAAGAAATAAAAATTCCAAAAAATTTGGTCCCAAAGTCCAAAAAATACAAATGAAACAAAACTCGATATGTCACATATTAAGAATAACGTATTTTTCGAAATTTCAAAAATGCATATTAATCTCTGTTTCATTGCAAGTTCAATGTTACATAACATTTGGCATTTGAATAATCCGTCTTAAAGTTACAGCCCGCCAAACTTAGCGCTGCAAAGCAAGATCCAAAAAATGTTATACACCATAACTCAAAAAATACTTATCTGATAAGCCTCAAATTGTTACAGGTGGATTCAGAGCCCCTGATTACCCCTGAGACCAATTCTCGTCAAATTCCGAGAGATGAGGGTGTCAAATTGGAAAAAAAGTGGTACGATCTATCGTGGAATGCCCCAGCTAGCCACTTTTTGCTAATTAAGTACAGGCAGGCGGCGATGGATCCGAAATCCCTACAAATCACCACTCTCTCGGCCACCCAGCGTTAAACGGACGGTGTTTCTGCCCACAGCACAAGACGAGCTGCTGTTTGCGTGTCCCGAGTCGTACGGCGACTACGAGGATGCCGAGTACTGCGACTACTTCTGGCGCTGCAACCGCGGCGAGGCCGAGCCCATGGAGTGCCAGGACGGACACGCGTTCGACCCGCGCCTCAGCGGCAACATCTACCCCTGCGACTACGCCTTCAAAGTGAACTGCACCGGACGCGAGCAGCTCCGTAAGTGAAAACTGCATCTTGCTCTATGGGGAAGCGCATGCCGTGTTTCTTTTTCATTTATATATGTACTTTGTTCACAAGTGAGATGTGCAGGCAGACCCGATGTTCATCGAGCAGCCTTGTTTGGGAACATTGAGCGTATGTTACCATCTCTGCTATGCCAACCTTTGGGAATATTAATCGACTGTTGCCGTCTCTGATGTGCTAACATCGTTCCGTCTGTGTGCACGCAGAGCCGGCCATTCCCGGAATCGACCCGGAGTGCCCGAACCAGCACGGCATCTTCCCCGACCCTGAGCTGTGCAACGTCTACTACGTGTGCAAGGACGGCGTGGCCACGCGCACCACCTGCGCGTCCGGCCTGCACTTCCACATCGAGAGCCGCCAGTGCCTGTGGCCCGAGGCGGCCGGCCGCGGCGACTGCGAGTCCAGGGAGAGTGAGTCACGGGGAGATATTCAGTGGGTCGAATCACCGCTTTTTTATTATCCGATGAGGCACTTTATCATTGAGTGTAGCTCTTTCGAACCACCAGCAGGAAACTATAAGAAGGAAGACGTTAAAAGGCCCCCACGGTATTTGAGGAAGGCGCCGATTGCCGTTACAGGTCGGAAGAATTTGCCAGAGTCCTGAGGAATTAGGTATCACGCAGGTACTAAAATCATCGATGGGTTGGACAAATGCATGCATGAAAATGCGCGTATTTTGCATCATTCTCTTTCATTACAAATTCGGTATATATGGCGATATATTCTGAATGTAATGCGATTGGCTATACATTCGTTTTGCTTTCTTTCGATTCCTTTTTTCTCATGGTGTCCGTGACAAATTCAAAAAATAAATAATAATAAGACGGCAACCCGAGACCCGAGACCCGACCCCATACCAGAGCTGACGGCCGCCTCCCCCGCTGCAGAGATCGGCGACTTCTCGTGCCCGCTGGACGCCACCAAGGCGGTGGACGCCAACGGCAACTGGGACAACAACCCGACCTACCTGCACCCGGAGGACTGCCGACTGTTCTACGTGTGTCTGAACGGCATTACGCCGCAGCTGGGCGGCTGCCCCGTCGGCACCGTCTTCAACGACATCACGCGCAAGTGCGACGACCCCATCAACGTGCCCGGATGGTGAGTCAGCCGGAAAGTGGTCCCCGAGAGCGGGGGGGGGGGGGACTGGTGTCATATTATACTGAAGTGCACACATTATCGCGTAGGCAATTAATTGTCAGTTCTCTAGGGATAATGTGACAATGAACATTCTCATTCTCATGAACATTGAACATTCTCAATAGCCACTCTGCGTCGTACAGTCATGAAAACACCTATTGCAATGCAAGATTAGACTATCGACAATGCTTAAGAATCGTTGAATTACACCCTTATTGCCTCGTTACACCCTCAATTGAATTTCACTGACGCCTTTTGTGTTTTCTGTTTCAGTGAGAACTATTACGAGCCTCTTCCCGAGGAGGAGCTGGCATGAGGCTGTGTCAGCCCCCACACAAACTCACTCGCGCGTGCCACGCCCGCTCCGTTGTGGCAAAATGTTAGGACCGAACGGTCTATGACCGTTCCGCCTGTGAACTTTCAATGAATCATCAGGTAAAATAGTAAACACCAGTGTACAAGTTTGACGCGAACCCTGCATGCTTCTTGTATTACCTAATGTTGCATGTATTCGTGATGCATCGCTTTGTGCGTTAGAATTGTGTACTGCCTGAATCAAAAAATTGTTTGTGTTATACGAATTCGTCCACTTGCGATGCAGTTGTGATGTCGCGTGTTGCGTGATGATTGTTTGAATAAAAAGTATGGGAATGAAACATCGCATTTTACGTGGTAGGTACAGCCCACCGCTAAAGTAATGTACTGGGTTTTACCAATCTCAACGGTTGGCTTTGACTGGCGATTGTTTAAAGGGACCATCCCACCTTAACATTAGTTTTGAGTTGAGATAGCCAAGTTTGCGGCCAGGCTCAGAAACCACCATTTATCCTGGTCGCAACCCCCGCAGCTTTATGGTGTTCAAGAAATTTCTTCCCTTTACTTGCAGGGTGGGACCAGCTTAGTCCCTATCTCTTAACCATTAGCGGTTTTTTGATGACGTCAGCAGTCATTTCAACGCCCGCCATTCCTTGGACCCGAGTTTTGCTGACCTTGAGCTCCCTTGTTTATCAACGTGAAATCCGTCGTCGGCGCTGAGAAAGCCTATTGCTTTTCATTTTAATTTGAATATTAGAAGATACCCACCACTGGAACTTGGACTGATATTATACCAAGGCCGAAGATGATCAAGCTGCCTGCTATATCTGGAGCTTGGTGTTCAACTTCAACATTGAATAAAAAACAAAATATCAAAGCAAACTGGATATGGTACTGCAAGTTAAAGTCCAAAGAAATTTGAAGAGCTGACAATTGACATTAATTCTTTTCCTGCAAGGTTTCCATATGGAGATCACAGTCACACCATGAAGAAATATTTTTGATGTTAACAGTTGAAAGGGGATTTATCTTCCAGTTTTGACGAAAGACGCTGCTGACTGTCTTTGGAAAAGGATATCGGCATGAGGTGCAATTATGCTTGTGAAGTGGTTATAACTGGTCTTTTCACAGTATTAAATTAAATGTGCCATTGCAGCCAAGTGTGTTATCATGTAAGGTAAAATCAAAACTACAATGTTGGTTTTACGAGCATTGAGAAGGCTGGTAGGTAACACCTGCCTGTGCTCGTTAATCATGCTGCCAGAGTATTCTAAATTAATTTTATCATACACTTTTGTTGTCCAGAATGGTTGCACTATTGTTTGGTATCATATTATTCCATGTAAATATGGTAGTGTAAAGTCCGACCAACATGTTACCAGATTTGAAGCTGTTACGTTACCTAAGTACCTGTTTTTTACTGGCGTGGTGAATGTGTCACCTGGATTTTGTTTTGAGGTGCAGACCTAGTAACTCTGACTACATGGGTTTGAAGCTATTATCTATTCTGTTTTTACTGGCCTGGTGAATGGCGACCGATGTTGTCCGTGGATGGCACTGAAACAAATTTTGAGTGTTTTGTACAGTGTTTTAATACAATGCTGAGGGCTGAAAGTTGTCTTGTTTAGAGTGGTGAAAGTTCAGGATATGCCAGCCACCATGGTGGGTCAGAGTTAAATGTGTTGCAGTCAGTTCGGCTTCGGCAAGCACACGGATGGGCATACGCATCAAGACCTGCTCTGCCATACTTTCAGCCAATTTTACCTAGGTAAGTCTTTTCTTTTTTCTGCCAAAAGCTATGACATTGTGAATTTCAGCACTGTGGCCTGTGTGTAGCTTTCAGGAAAGCAATTCTAAATAAAGCTCTGATAAAGTGCAAAATCAGCAATGCAGCCCTCTATTACATTTTCTACAACATCTTACTTGTTCCTTGCATGGAGAGAAAAATGCAATGTTATGAATTCGTTTATTCACATAATTTGACAAGCATGCAGTTACCTACTACTATCACTGCACAAAACAGAGCAGAAAACATCAGTTGATCAAACACAAGACATAACAGAAGTTTACAACATAGGGCTGCCGAACCTGCTTCCTCCCACCACAGTTGATGCCATTTCCTAGCCTGGCTTGATGTGAGCACTGAATAGCTGCTTTGTCTAATTACAGCTCACTACCATTCAACTTAAACTACTCTCTTTAAAGTAAGAGTGAGAGCGTTCAGTGTTCATAGCAGCTCGACAGACGACAGAAAACAAACATCTTGACAAACCAACCAGTATTTGATTTGGCTAATGATTTATGTGCTTGTTGTATCATGGCCAAACTACTTTAACAGCAATAATCCCTGTTTCATCTTGATCTTGCTTTTATTTCCATTTGAACTCAGATCTTGAAACAATCATCTGAAGTGATATCAGATACTGGCTTCTGTTTCTCTTGAAAGCAAGTTAAAACAACAATGATAAACTAAGGCAGGAGATGTGAGTTGTGGCAGTAGATTTTTGATTCAACATATGTCAAGTCAACCTTATATTGCTTGAGATCTCTGTGACAGACAAACAAATATTTATAGTTTTTTGATAATTTGGATTCTTGGCTTGATTTAGCAGATCAGCTGTGAACCTTGACTTTGAAATCACATAAATGTCATGGTACCCGAACGAATCCTCGCATGACATTTCTTCGTAGCACAATTTTTCGTCCGCATTTCTTCGTCTACAAATCTTCGTCGGTGCATTTATTTGTCCCTCAATGCTTACTCTTGCATATATTTGCGTTGAAGAAGAAATGCGAGCCGATTTTCATATACCCTGGTGCGAGACAAAGTAATGCGATAGGTACGAATAAATGCCCTGACGAAGATTTGCAGACGAAGAATTGCGATACGAAGAAATGCCATAAGAATTGTCCTGGAACCCTTTATTGGCCATCATATATTGACCTTGATAAGATAAACGCATCATTCGCGCAATATTTGTCGCACTTTGATACCAAACTATTGCTTCCAAATGCCGACGTAAAGAAAACCTTTATGTGACGTCATAGAAACAGCGGATTTCCCAAAAAGTAAACAAAAATAAAAGTCTTATATCTCGAAAACGGGTGAATATTTTCCGGTAAAATTTGGTAGATGTTCATTTTCGCTCTTTGTGATTCACGCTACATCACTTTTATGCCAATTCATTAACTTTTTTGAAGGTGGGAGGGTCCCTTTAATGCGGAGTGATCGAAAAGAAGATGTCAATAGCTAAAGTTGCAGCTGCAAGGGTGACGACACATATAAGCTACATTCAAAGTTTCATTATAGTCTGGTTAATCGTTCCTAAGCTTCAGAAGCAGAACATACCCATGACTGAAACCGCACATTACTTCTGCTGTGGACTGTACCTACCTAGTATCGCGACGATTAAAAAGAACGTAGCTACTAGCTAAGCGTAGCCAATAGCCATTAAATGTCTCCCGTCTTTTTTCGACGATAACGTTTGAAAAAGACATGCTAAAAAACGATGAAAATACATTGGATGTGTTCAGATCTACGAAACGGATCGGTTGCCATGCAACCGATCTCACTTTGATAATGGGTCCGATTATTTAAGTTGACATTTTAGTGTCAAATTGCAGGTAATTCGACGCGTCTGGACGGGGAAGATACGATGCCGATGAAATTGATGTTAAGTTTTGAGTGGAAAGTTATTGCAGAAAAAATATTTTTCCCACGAACGTCAACTTCGACAGCTATTGCATTCTCGAGCCTAAACTGTTGACCTAAGGCGCAATCTGAGGACATTATTAACCCGCACCTATAGGGCTTCTACCACTGAACTCTATAATGCTCCTACTATTTCCACGCCCTGCTTGCTGGGGGGAGGTGTTTGAACATACCTTCCCTCTAACTCGGTCCCTTGGCCACATAGCGATACGCGGTAAGCGGTGTTTAGAGGAGCATTAAAATTCATGACGGAATAACCTCAGTCATTTCAGTCATTTTTCAGGTCAGGTCAAAGGTCAGGTCGCCAAAGCAGAGATCGCCGAAGATCAAGTTTCGCCTATTTCAATATTTTTTTTCTTTACAAATCGGCACATAATTCGAAAATGAATGAAGCTGTATACACGGTTTTGAGTGATTTGACCTCACGTCAACTGTTCGACTGCAGAGGACAGAGGGCAGAAACTGTCGACGTTGACAGTTTTTGCTGTGACTGTTTTTTGCAATAACTTTTCACTCAAAAATTGCATATTAATTTTACCAGTATCGTATTTCTCTTGTCGAGACACGTTGCAGGTATACAGTACCTATAATTTAACCTAAAGGTCAACTTCAAATTTGACCAGAAGTCAAGGCCATGACCTGGCCGGAATATGCTCTATTGCATATCAATCCTGTCAATCCGTACCGTGAAGCTGAATAAAAGACGATGTTTTTCATCACTCCAGCACGTCCCTATAAAAGCTATTGTCGAAAAACTGTTGCGGATATTTGATGACCTGAGAAGACCTCAAGGATATAAATACCTAGGGGTCACAGGTGCAATTTTCCGATTCAATGTTTCGTGTTTATCTGCAACCAGAGAAATTACGTAACATAATGCCTACATATTGTTGCCTCTATCGATAGCTGAAAGTTTCAAATCAATTGGTCAATCGGTGTAACCATGCGTAGCTATGCCAAACATTGGAACTTTACCTGACGTACGGTCACTTGAGGTGACCTGGTGACCTGACCTCAACGGCCTGGGTCTGATTTTTTTCGTAACATGTGTAGAAAAGATTGACCTCTGGTGACCTGACCTAGAAATGATCTGGAAACTTTTTTCACTTTTGACGCCCTTTCGAGCGTCGCTCACCGCGTGTCGCTACGTGGCCCAAGAGACGAGTTTGAACGGTTCACGCCCCTCCCCCCCCCCCGCTCCCCTAGCAGAGCTTGGAAGTTCAGAGGCCCAGCTGGGCACAGCCTAATACACACGTCCATTGAAAGCCACAGTTTCTCTACCATTACTTCAAATAATGTTGAATGAACAAAATCAAACGGTGCCATAGCTGATATGGATGGAAGCTGCTCAACGATATCCAGGGTGGCAACTGGCAATGCCCTCCGTCAATTCATTGTACCGACGCGAGCTGAAGCTGCTTTGTCCTTGGATTACCGAGCCAGGGACGGAGTCAGCGGCGCCTGGCCAGTCGGTCGGTCGGCGGAGGGCATGTGTAAACAGTGTGTGCCCATGCTGGGACGGCAGTGAGAGCTGCTCGGCAGCGAGGGTCTGCAGGGAGATACGCCGGGCTAATTTCCCAGCCAGACTCGCTGAGGATTGTGAGAGACAGTGGTGTGATGTGGCCTGTGCCGCTAGTTATATAACCGGTCCGGGTCGGTAGTGACGTTGGAGTCAGCGGCGTACCGAGTCCGAGTGTGAGCCATCCTGTGCGGTTCGCGTGTCGCCGTGGCAGTGATGGCCGCTTTACTCTGGCTGGGTCTGGCGCTGTCCGCCCTGTTGGCCTGGGTGTGGGTGCACCGTCCTAAGCGGCCGGCCAACTTCCCGCCGGGACCGCCGTGCGTGCTCGTGTTCGGCTCGCTGTCCGCCACGCTGGAGCTGTTCACCATGGGCGTCCGGCAGGCGCTGCGCAAACGGCGCCGTCTCTACGGCGACATCAACGGCGCGGTCTCGCCCACCGGTCTGGGCATAGTGAACCTGTGCAGCCACGAGCTGATCCGGGAGGCCAGCGCCATGCCCGAGCTGAGCGGCCGGCCCGAGATCCTGCCGCTCCTCGTCCGCAGCTACATGAAGAAGATGGGCATCATCTTCAACGACGGCGCCGTATGGCGCGAGCAGCGCCGGTTCGCGCTGCGCCACCTGCGCGACCTGGGACTCGGCCGCAAGGACATGGAGGAGGGCATCCTCGGCGAGTTCGAGCACCTCCGGCGAGACATGGAGCTCCTGGAGGGACGCCCGCTGCAGGTGCTCGGGTACTTCAACCTGACCGCGCTGAACATCCTGTGGCGCGTGGTGGCCAGCACCCGCATCGACCCGTCCGACCCGGAGGCGCGCCTCTACGTCCAGCTCGTCAAGGAGTTCTTCGAGATGATCAGGCCGACGAGCCCGCTGGGCATTGCGCCGTGGCTGCGGCACATTGTGCCCGAGTGGAGCGGCTTCTCGGCGCTGGAGCGCCAGCGAGAGGTCATCAACGCCACATTCCTGCGGCTGCTGGCCGAGCACCGCGCCACGCTGGACCGCGACCACCCGCGCGACCTCATGGACCACTTCCTCATAGAGATGGAGACGACGGACGCGGCCGAGCGCGGCTTCACCGAGCTCAACCTAGCTGTCACTGGCATGGACCTGTTCATCGCCGGCATGGAGACGACGTCCACGCAGCTGAGCTGGGCGCTGCTCTACATGGCCAGCCACCCGGCCGCCCAGCGGCGCGTGCAGGCCGAGGTGGACCGCGAGCTGGGTGGCCGGCGGCCCAGCGGCGCCGACCGGGCGCGCCTGCCACTCACCGACGCCACGCTGATGGAGGTGATGCGGCGCGCCACCGTGCTGCCGCGCGCCGTGCCGCACGCGGCCGCGCGCGACTGCCACCTGGCCGGCTACTCGCTGCCGCGCGGCACTGTCGTGCTCATGGACCTGGACGCGGTGCACATGGACGCGAATCACTGGGGAGACCCGGATAAGTTCCGGCCCGAGCGCTTCCTTCGCGAGGACGGCTCCGTGCGCCGCGACGAGCACCTGATGCCGTTCGGAGTGGGCCGCCGCTTCTGCCTGGGCGAGCCGCTGGCCAGGGCCGAGCTGCTGCTGCTCTTTGTCTCGCTGTTGCAGCACTTCACGTTCGAGCCCGTCGAAGGGGAGACGCTCGACCTGGACGGCAATTACGGTGCGCTGCTGCCACCGCACCCGTTCCGACTCATCTGTCGGCCACGGGCTGCACAGCCGCAGCAGTAGTCTCCAGATGTGCGCCATCAAGCACCGGCGACTGGAGCAGCAGCATTCAAGGTATTGATATCCGCTGCCTCGAACGCTAACTATGTACTACAAGGAGCCGTAACTATGTTTCATGGGACCATTTCCCTTGTGTATCCGGGCTCCGGGGATAAGTAGCGAGCTGACGAGGAGGCTGGTAACATTGTCCACAATTTTACATGTTTGGGGCGGCACTATATACCGAGTATCGACGTTTATTATTTTAGTCGAGTGAATGATTACAACCCGTCCCCTTACGGTACCTATAGTTGATTGCAAAGCAAGCAACTATATCGTTGCTTGCTAGGCATTAGGCATCATTAGGCAGAGCGAAATGAACCGAGGGCATTAGCACTGTAATGCAAGGACCAGAAGATTTCAACAAAATACAAATTTTGTCGCAGTAGGTCTCTGTTTTACTTTGGCCAATTCGCAATTAATCTGTTTGCTTGTTTATATCTTCATGATATAGCGATTAGCGTTATGTATTATCTGACAAAAAACAAAAAAAATGGAGAAGCCCCATAATAGGTACGACAACCATCGGGATGTCAAGTACCCACATTTTCTAAACGGCTTTTAAACGTAAACTGAAACGGTTATTTAAAGCCCAAACGTATGCACTAATGTCGTTTTTATGCATGTCCTTAGAAATGGCTTAGTTTGGGGAGTTCGGCGATTACATAAGTTATGTCCTAAGTTATGTCCTGTTAGTTAAGTTAAGTCCTTTCATGTTTCAACTTCAAGCCCCTATGATTCCTCATAGTTAGGCCTAAGATAGTTGCGGAGCTATTTCTATGTCTCGGATATGTCGGAGTAAAAATGTTTCTTTACCTACCACTAAGTGCCTGACGGTCATCAGCCATTACCCGGGATGTCGGTGATAAATACCAAATTGTACCTTTTCCTTCCACTACACCAAAACCCATTATAATAGCCGTTTTCACGACGGGCTATCTGGCGAATGCACCTAATTTGACCAAATCTGCACTAAATCTCTTTTACAACAAATATCTTCATATCATGAATTTATATCAGTGCTTTAACCGACAATAATGTCCTTAATTCAGTAGTGACCTTTTCCTCGTAGTTTAAAAAGTTGAAGCAAAACACTTGTTTATTGATAATTTCGAGCACAGCTCTTTATCAGAATAGCAAGCTTAAAATGCAAGACATTTTTACTGTACTTAAGTACCTACTTATGTACTGACAGACTCCTCACCAAGGATAATATTTTGCACCATACTATTTGAATATATTGACGAGTAACAACAACAAAAAAAAAATACCTACCTATATATTGGGAACAGTAGGCGTCGGCTTAAACGACCAGTTCATATCTGTGACAACATGAACGCATACAAAATAGTCCCTACGACACAGTTTCCATATATTATCAGCTACGCATGTAATACGATCCATCGCTCGTGGCAGGGACGACTTCTGGCTTCTGCTTCCAAGTAAGAGAGCGTGTAAATCCTGTTCAGCACTCGAAACTCAGGCCCAAGTGCAACCAGTCGCCAACAGCTCACTAAAGAACTCAGTACTGCGAACCGAGCGAAATGAACCGATCACGATAACTGGCGATCTGAATGCGAGCCTTTACAGTAACGACAAACAGCTGACGTCTGAGTTCTCAGAGGGCTCTCAGTTTCCTGAGCTATCCGGGAGTTGGGAATTATAGTTGAGAGCTCAGACACACTGTGAACCTAGGCTGAGAGCTGAGCAGAAACTCTGCGAGTAAAGCCTTAATTGATTCAAAAGGACGGCACCTGAGAGTTGGTCATGATTCAGTCATCTCCTCCTGAGCGGCGGCGGGCGGCTGGCCGTCCCGGCGGAGCGCGAACGCCGTCAGCAGGAACACCACAGAACCTGGGCGGAGAGGCAACGGGGAGGGTCAATACAATATATCACTCCTTACTATGTATGTATGATAAAGTAAGAGATCGAGCTAATATATGCCTAAACTTTAAAAGTATATTCCCGAACGCTGGGCGATATAAATACCACGTCTATGTATGGATGGCCGTATGCACGGTCGTCCGGACTCACTGGCGAAGTACATGCCCGGGTAGAGCACGTAGAGGGCGTCCCGGTAGCCGATGACGTCGCCGAGCCCGTCCACCGCCAGCGGCATGTTGCCGCCCACGTTGTTGATGATGAAGAGGAAGATGGCGACCGTGGAGGACTTGACGTCGGGCTCGACCAGCTCGACGACGATGGCGAGCACCACTCCGAACCACATCTCGGCTGTGGTAGTGGCGGGCAGACGGGGACACTCAGCAGTCAGCACGTCAGTCACAGTCCATATACGGCCATTTACCTCGGTGTCATTCGGTGTTTATCCCATCATAGTTAGAATGCCAACATATGCATCGTTTACGGTCTTTTCTGCCATATTAATTAAACTGAAATTAATGCTACTGAAAGGGACGTTCACACTCTATGTTTATTGACCACTTGTAGATAGGTATTCGAGACCCAGGCATTCAGGCTTGACGATTACAGGATACTCCGCCCGAGCGCCTGTTTAGAGAACCGATCAGTAGGGATGGATATCACATCATGACCTTAGGATCTAATCAGGCGATATGCTTCGATACGAGTGTCGCCATGTCGCGCGCCTCTGCACGTACCGAACAGATAGGCAGTGAGGAGGCTGACGAAGCACCACTGCGGCGGAAAGTACAGCACGCCAACCGCGAACGGCGTGGCCACCAACTGAAACGGAGCGGGAGCGTACCAACGGTACTGTGTGAGACTGGACACCAAGGAGACGGATCGGCGGCGTAAAAACGTTACCGTGTGGCCACAGACTGAAACGGAGCGGCAGCGTTAACATGTTACTGTGAGGAACTGGACAGCTGCTGTGACCGGGCGGCGCAATTTTTGCAGGAAACAGGCAATAGCCGTAATGCTTTACGATTGTCTAAGGCATTCCTAATGGAAAAGTCGTAAAATGGCCTCACATCGAAGCCACCGAAATTGAAAATGTCATATTGCAAACAGCCTTCAACTTTCTAACTACATTGCGTGATCCAGCTTTGAGATTGCAGCTTTTAGGTAGGGAGTCTCGTATTTCCCGTTCGTACCTGACTGGCCGAGAGCACCCAGATCCTGGCCCGGAGTCCGATCCGCTTCACCAGCCGGTCACTAACCACACCGCCTGCCGGACACGAACAAACAACCATCACTAACCACACCGCCTAACGGACACGAACAAACAACCATCACTGACCACACCGCCTAACGAACACGAACAAAACATCACTGACCACACCGCCTGCCGGACACGAACAGATATCACTGACCTTACTTACATCGGACACAGAAACACACAGCAGTCCCTCTGTCACACTCTCTGACAGACACCCCCTGTCGGACACGTGCATACAAACAAACAAACAAACAAACAAACAAACAAACAAACAAACAAACAAACAAACAAACAAACAAACAAACAAACAAACTTCACTAGTTGCAGTCCGTGTCGAACACAAATACGTAACGATGGCTGCTTGACCATCCAGATTCGGACAGACTGACTGGGTACCTACTGACAGACAGACAAACAGGACTGACCTACGGTGACACCGATGGAGCCGCCGACGATGCTGACCCAGGAGAGCCACAGGCCCAGGTCGGCCGTCGGGTAGTAGGTCTGGAAGTACAGCTGAGTGTTTGTCGACCAGCAGAACCCAGCTGCGGGGTAGACAAAACAATCGGATAAATGGACTAGTTAGTTAAACCGGTATGTGTACGCCCTCAGATCACTGCGCCGTAGATATTCCTATTTCGACGAAAACGAGGATAACTCAGAGGTTACTATACCCATGGTTATCAAAAGGTAAGCTATCAATAGGATAATCACTCGTAAATCGTAACATAAAGATGTATACTGCTCCATGCACTTAGATTGTGATCATCAGCTACCCCAAGCGCGGAATTTCAAAATCGTCCAATGAAAGCATCACCGACAAGTTTATATTTTGGTCCAGTACAAATTTGCAGTTTCGCACTGACCGGTGTGTCGCATGGATGCGCCGAGCAGCAGCAGCAGGATGCTCGGCTGCAGGAACACCCGCAGCTTGTCCACCACGAACCGGCTCCACCAGCCGGCGCGCGGCCCGACGCCCTCGGCGGCCTCCGCGGCGGCCACCGGTGCCGCCTCCGACTCGGAGGTCTCTGTGGGCAGCGGACAGGGGCGCTGGGAGTCAGGACGGGACATCGGACAGGGGCGCTGGGAACTGGACGTGCTAACACTACAGGATTCCTCCTTCTAGTGCGGTGGTTTGTGTAACGCTGGATCTTTGAAAACGTAGGACACAATCACGACTCGATAGATATTGCAGTGTAAGAACTGTTTTACGGCGCATCCTGATTATATCCCGTGGTGTGTGACGCTGCGGTACTGCGTTTATCACGGTAGTGCCGTCCGTTCTTCCGTACTTATCCGGTAGAGGTCGTGTTCTCCGTCGCTGAGCGCTGCCTGTCTGGTCCGCGGGTCGTGAGCCGTCAGGTGGAGGCAGCACAGGACGGCCCCGGGAATGGCCGCCACGTAATACGCCCATCGCCAGCTCTGTCCCAACACCGAACACCGCGTCAGTGCTCCGAACACCACGTCAGTGCTCCGAACACCGGGTCAGTGCTCCGAACACAGCGTCAGTGCTCCGAACACCACGTCAGTGCTCCAGACCACAAAATACGACCCACTACTACAGGCGCGCAAACGGACCGTGGATGACCGTTCGGTCGCATACAGACATTTGTTTGGACACAAAACAATAATTAATCCTAGCACTTGGCAAGCAAGTTCGTATCACGTCCCAGGCGGTTGCCCACCTGTCCCATGATGTCGGCCGCCGAGACGTAGTTGCCGATGGCGTAGGAGATGCCGTAGCCGAAGTAGATGCCCCAGGTGAAGATGGACATGGCCATGCCGCGCAGCTGCGGCGGAAACTGGTCCGATATCATGCCGGAACTTAGTGGCGCGAAACCCGCCTCCCTGCAGGGACACACGGGACTCAGATTGCGCGAACCTCGCCTTGCAGTAGGACACAGGGGACTCAGGTTTGGCGGAAACGGGCGGGACGTAATTTTTCACACAGCGAACGGGAAAAATATCGAAGCTCGTCACCAACGAAAATAAAATAAACAGCACAGCCCAGCACTGAAAATTTTGGTCCTCAATTAATGCCCCGGCTCTTACTCTCTTAGTACTCAACTGGCCCGGCTCTTACTACAGAGCGCACCAACCATCCCACCCGGGAGGTCCTGGCCACGGTTCGATGCCGATTGCCGGGCGTCCGTGGCCGGTCCCGGTGCACGTGCACTCACCCGGCTGCGGTGCACATTCTGAAGAGCACCAGGTGCCAGTACTCGGTGGCGAACCCCATCAGGAAGGTGGAGACGGTCAGCAGGGCGGTGCTGAACGTCAGCAGACGCTGTCTGAGGACCGACACGCACAGAGAACAACAGACAGTCACACAGAGTAACACAGGAACACACAGTCAGAGTCAGTTACACAGGGTCAGACAACAAACTAACCAAAAAACGCAGCACTCAATCCGGTCCAAGCCGAGAGTTGAAGTAGTTCAACAGTAACAGTAATCGTTTAGAAAACGTCTAGCAAGTCGTTTAACGTCTAGCGTTTTATTGATTTCAGCTTTTAATACAAAGGCTGAATTAAGAATCAGGGCATTTGATACGGCTAGTCATTCTTCATTCAGGAGAAAGTTATTAAACCTGTTTATCAAAGGACAATTGTATTTTTTATTTGGCATTCAAACTGATTAAAATTGCACTGATATCAAAACATACGTTAACCAAAAAGGGCTATTACTTATTAAATGAGAACATTGATAGCTGCATAGCATTTTGTGACGGAACGAGATAAAATAATCACATTCACTCGAAGGTTAAAAGTATCTGTACGTTTAAAGTTAAAAACGGTAAACGGTAAATAGTAAACGTTTACCATCAAACATGTAACGTTAAACGTTCTTGTTCCTCCTTTTCATGATTTAATGTATAGTAGGAGAAAAGGATATCATCCACTCCGCTTCTGTAAGCGATAACTTTTCCGTGTGGTTTATCATTGAGCTGTGAGTGAGCGTATAGATAGGCTGTACCGCAATGACTGAAAGCCGTGGAAGTTATACTGTGCCGCAGCGCTCTGAACCGAGGCTGGGCGGCTGGCCGCAGCGTTTGCGAGCCAGCCTCCTTAGCCCGTTGATAACAGATAACGGAATATAACATGAACCTACAATCGAACCCACCCAATAAGCACCAAATGGGTAAAATCTTTGTTTTCTGCATATAAGATAGGTATCCCAATTACAGGATTCCATTGCTGTTCCATTGACGTGTTGATATAGGAGCCGCCGTGAGCTGCCGTGAGCGAGAGTACTGAGTAGGTACGTTATTGTTCCACTTACCTATTGAAGGAGTGTGTCAGTGTCACTGCTCACCTACCTGTTGTACGAATCAGCCAGACTGCCGAACACCAGGCCGGCGAGAGTGAAGGCTCCTATGAAGGCCGGCCCGGCCAGCACCTGGTACTGGATGCCCAGACCCGTGTAGGTCCACTCGCAGGCGTCCACTGCCGTGCAGCTGCCCGAGGAGCGGGGGTCAGGTCAGCGGTACCTACAGCTGCCCGGGGAGGTCAGTCCACTGCCGTACAGCTGGCAGCTGCCCGGGGAGCGGGAGGTCAGGTCAGCGGTACCTACAGCTGCCCGGGGAGGTCAGTCCACTGCGGTGCAGCTGCCCGGGGAGGTATGGTCAGCTGCTCAGGAAGCGGGAGGTCAGTCCAGAGGTCACATCAGCTGTCCGGCGAGCGGGAGGTTAACCCAGCTGACCGGGAAGGTCCATCCAGAGGTCAGCGAAGCTGTCCGGGGAGCAGTTCAGAGCTACCTCTTTGGGTAGGGGTCAACATCGGGCGTTTGCATGATTTCATTCAGCAAGAAAGGAAATAAACGATTTCGTTGATGCAGTTTCTAAGATTTATTCAACTGACACACCCCCGGAAACCTCCACTGATCATTGATCAATAAACAAAAACTGTTAGCCGTGACACCGGCCTTAGGTACACAAATATTCGACGCGTGCGTCGAGCCCTGGCATGTGTCATAAGATAAGCAAACAATCGTGGTGTGGCTGTCTGGCCGTGCTCTGTTCAAGGTGACACTGAGTACGTGTCCCCACACCACATCTCCGGAATTTCAGTTACCATCAGTGGATAGCTCCTGGTAGCTATCACAAGGGCAATATCATTAACAGTGTCGCGGTGTCCGGCCCACTCGGGCTCCGGACGTCGGAGCCGGACAGCCCGAGCCTAGCTACCAGCCCCGGAATTGTGGCAGTATGCGAGTATAAATGTGTTTGTCTGTCTGTCTGTCTGACTTTCTCACTCTCAGTCTGTCCGTCCGTCTGCATATTTAGCCGGCAGTCCGTTTGTCCGTCTGTCTGTTACCTGCTGTTGCCGGTAAAGGTGTAACAGTCGGCGCCGGGCCTGACTTTGTCTATCCGTCTGTTACCTGGTATTGTCGGTAAAGGTGTAGCAGTCGGCGCCAGCGTCGGTGGCGTTCTCACGCTCCACGCAGCCGATGTCGCCGTAGTGGAGCTCCTGCGCCATCTGGCGGCTGACGATGCCGACCAGGAAGTGGGAGAGCTCACCGGTGATGTAGGTGGCCGTCATGAGCGCCAGGTGGTACCAGCGGTACCAGGCGCCCGGCCGGGACCGACCCCACATGGCGCCGCACGGGTCACACCGAGGGCGACAGAGGTCACTGCGGCGACGGCGCGGGTCAGTCTGTGATGGTGATCGGAACGTTTTAATGAACAGTACACGGGCTCCAATTAAACACGACGGCTGTCCCCAGTTAAGTTATAGTAGGAGCATGTGCAACACAATCATTTTCGGTATCTAAAATAACAAATAATTTTACTGCTTCACATCTCAACCGTTTAAAGGTAGTGTGCCACCTTTGAAAGATTTCCCATTTTATTTTTCCTAGGATAAGAAGCTTCTGTTTTTACCTAATATCGCAAAAAAAAATCAAAAATGGGCCTGGAATAGTGCCTTTTTCGCCTAAAAGTTTTTCGGTTTTTAGATATGTATAACAACTGTAGTGGGCTCACCTGCAAACAGGCGTCGGGCAACAATCGCGAATGCGGCGCACTTGTGACAATAAGCAAAGGTCATTATAGTGTTACGACCATACGACGTACGGGAATGAGTTATCAGCTGTCTAATCGTAGACAACACAATGTCGAGCCTTAAACTGTAAGCCCGTATTGGTATTGTTTCTTTTATTTGGCTGTCGAACATTATTTATGGTTTGAAATATGATTTTATGTAAAATAATTGATATGAAAAAGCCGTCTTATAAGTTATGACCCCATTTCACCACACGCAAGTGGCAGAAATGACAATGATCAGCTGACGCATTTTTCTTGGCCGAAGTCAGAGCGCGCGGCCCGACGCACCACGCGTATTTGGAAATTCCGACCTCGACGAGCATCAGAAGCCACCTAACAGGCGTGTTCGAAACCGCAGGAGATGATGATGAACGGGTTTATCGAAACTTGATTGGATGAGCATATCGGTAATAGCGATTTCAGTGTGTGCATTTATTGTTCATAGTGGTGTGAAATGTGGTTGGGGTACGACCGACAACCCGTCGGGGCGAATTTCGCACTGGGGTACTCAAAATTTGAAGAATTTACAGGCATCGGTAGGATTGTGATTGCAGGATTGCAAAATCCTGATTGCATTCCTTTTTGGTGGACTGCACCTGGATTTGAAATCCATTCCAAAAAACAGGATTTGATTGCGGATTGGATTGCATCATACTTCCATTTTTTGCAATCCAATCCGGATTGTGTTTGATTAGTGCTTTGAAATGGTTCGTTGCGATTGAAAATTATTAGATCGGCTTCATTGGCTTAATGTACTTTCACTGGCGGTCGCAGGGGGGGGGGGGGGCCACGGGGGCCATGGCCCCCCCTTTGGTGCTGAAAGGTGGGGCCATACTATCTTTTGGCCCCACCTTTCAGATCGAACAAAAGTCCTAGAAAAGCTGTTCGTATGTTTCATTTTCTTTCTTGCGCCATCAAAGAACGTAAATTTCACTCATGAGTGGGCTCAGTTTCGCATTCTGCCAATTTGGCGGTCAGCGTCGCTGGCACCGGTTCACGAGTATGGCCGGATCTTATATGGAATATCAGCGTGGGTTTACTTAAGGCTCTCGTAGGCCCAGCATTCAGCAATGGCTGGCATGAGACCCTCTTCGGCAGTGGCGGGTGGGGTCTGCTAAAGGAGATTGGCTCCAAGACACTAAAGTAAGACCTCAAGGGTTGGTGCTGTGCACCTCAGAAGCCCGGTGGTGATGCCGAATGCCGGCTTGGTTTCTTAAGGATTAGCGTGGGACCTTCGGGGCCTGCATAGAGTTTGCATGAGCTATTATGTAATCTCAGAGGCATGTGTGTAATGTGTACACAGTGGCGGTCGCGGGGGGCCGGGGGGGGCATCAGGGCCATGCCCCCAAAGGTCAATAAAGGGGGCCATCATATCATTTGACACCCCCCCCCCTCAAACAACAAATGGGCCCCCATATAGGTGTATGGGGCCCTGGCAATTATTCGATCGTCACGAGGCTAAAAAAAAAAACACGCCAAGCTATTAATATAGCTCCCACACCGGTCTTTGAGCGTCCTTCACTGACCTTTGAGGGAACTTCAGTGGCGGTCAAGCGCCCACGTTGACCGCTAAGAGCCTACATCAACCTCTGAGGCCCCACATCTGGCCTATGAGGGCCCCTAACCGGCCTCAGGGGTCCCAACCGGCGTCTGAGGGTCTCACACCGGTCTCTGGTGGCCTTATTTCTGTCTCTGGTGTCCCAAGATGAACTTTTAGGTGCCAATAAGGGCCCCGCACTGGCTGCTGAAGACCCGATGCCGGCCTCTAAGGGTCTGCACTGGCCCCTGAGGAGAGCCCATCTTGGCCTTTGAGGGCCCTCTGCTGGCCTCTGGGGTCCAACGACGGCTAATGCCGGTCTTTTAGGGCCCCACGCTGACCTCTGAGGGCCCATGTTGGCCTGTAATGAGTAAGGACCCACATTAGCCTCTGAGAGCCCAACTCGGTCTCTGATGGTCTCAAACTACTGGCCTTTGTAGTTTGCAGGTCCTGTACTGGTCTCTGAGGGCCCTAAACTGGCCTCTACATGAAAACATACATGGGTGGGTTTCTGAAGATCAGAGGGCTCACGCAGTCTCCGGCACAGCCTTACGTTGGTCCTGATCGAGATTGCTTAAATTGCTTTACGTCCTGATGGTCCCGCGCTGATTCCCTCATATTTCGACGTCGGGTCCCCATGAGCCGGTGTGAGTCCTGGGGCTGGCAGAGACTGATGAAGTCCTTAGGGCTCAGGGCCAGTCTTTTTAGCAGTAGGACTACGCAGGTTGAGTGAGCCCCAACAGAGCCGTTGCGAAGCCCCGCAGGAGTCGCGCGCGGCCCTCAGCTGCCAATTCTGAAAGCTCGGAACCTGTGGGGGTCTCCAGAGGTCGGTGTACCTACTCTCCCGCCGCCACACAACTAGGTACCTATATGGGTAAATGTCATAGTCTAAAAATGCTCTCTGGGTTTCACATGCTTGTTCAAAGCAAGAGGTATCTGTACTTTTTAGCAAGAGGTACCTACCTATCTGTACTTTTCCGAATTGTTTTATAGTGGTAAGGTCATGAATCCGCGTGCCTGACCTTCCAGTATACCTATGCTACACCGATCCGTCGTCATGGTGCAGCAGCCCGACCGGTGGGCACACCGTGAGACGGTAAATGGAACTGGTGATTTTGCCTTAAATTGAGCTCAAAGATTTCACGCAAGAATGAGATGGATGAAGCATAAGTAATGCCAACTGTGCGGCGCCTCGTGGACGTAAAAAATTAGCCGATCACCCCCCCCCCCCCCTCCCGGTGACGATTAAATGTTATGTCCCGCGAGTGTGACTTTGGCCCCCCCTTTTGCTAGCGGCTGCGACCGCCAGTGTGTACTTTGCTATCAAGGGCTTTACATCTAAACTTGAAATGATTTAAACGCTTTTAATTTAAACGCTCAAAATAATATACGCTGATGAACTACATAGGAAGGGCAAAGTTACGTATTTGAGGGCGAGTTTCAAAAATATAAAACACTGGTTGGGTAGAGGTTTCAATGTGGGGGGTGTTTGAGGCAAAAAATATTTCCCATAAAATACCTGTGCCTTAGATAGGAATTACTCGCAAGACTAGGTACTAGAAATGGGTGATTTGGGGATGGAGGCACGGCCCTATGCCCCCCTCCCTCCCCCAGATCCACTAGTGCACATAATAATACAACAGGATTGCAAAAAAGGATTGCGGATTTGATCTCAATCCAAGTGAAAAAGGGGATTGCGGGTAGGAATGCAATCCACTTCGGCACTAGGAATGTGGATTGGGAATGCAATCCTTTCAAAAAGGATTTTACCAATGCATGAGAATTTAAGACGTTTCCATGAGTTTTGAAGGTATGGATAAGTTCTAAAAAATCCGGTTCTCCTTATCTGGGCCATTAACTCCATACGGTCCAAGAAAGCTGGCACACTACCTTTAAACAAACTTGGACGCGGGGCACGGCTAGGATCATGAGCCTGTCCGTTTAAAATGATAACAACGATACATCAGATACGGTGCCCCGAGACGGGGCAGATCGCCCGCCGGTAGTGCGCAGTCAGACAGGGTCCAACACGCGACACCTCCATCCGGGAGGGCCGACACGGACAACGCCTCATGAGCCGTCAACAGCTCGATGGAAATACCGCACCACACTGAGACTTCCACTCTGAGTCCGAGGTCGGTGGGAGCTAATTGCTCGTCCCGCCGGCTAGTATAAGCTGAGTGCTGACACAACCGTCTTTTTTGCGCACGCCTAGCAAGGAACGTCTGTGGAATAACTCAGCCCAACAGACCCACTGCAAACGACCTGTAAAGCGGATACAAGTTTTGGCAGGCCAGTTATTTCTAAGCGATTCAGGCTAGGGATATCAATAAGAGACCAATTCCCGGTAACCGTTAATGTTAAAAGCATTTACAATTTCGGATATCTCAATATGCGAGATTTTTGAGGTCTCGACCAGTGACAATTTATTCACACCTTGAACTGGGGACGTGACGGCGCAATTTAGTAGATGCCTGCAGGTACCTATATTTAAACAGCGACAGCCAACAATAGGAGCCATAGTGTCTGAGAGCTGCAGACGGCGAGGTCCATTGTGTGGTGAGGACGACTAAAGTGCTCAGTCATCTCGGAAAAGATCGTACCATATCGCACCACCCGAGTTCGGGAGGATCCTGACCTAGAAGTCGTTCGCACTTGACCCGTATCGCTCCCAGCCCAGATAACACTGAGAATATTACGCTGAAAGCCACTGATTGTTGTGAGGCATAAGAAAACTCATGGAAAAATGAAAATTAAATCATGCCGACCCACGATCTATCCCAAGCACGTCAAACGGGTGCACACTTCCAAAGCGGATGCACACGCATGCGTGTTCGCCTGCACTTATGCCTGAATTACAGGTTGTTCACAAACACGCACATACGAAAATCCCACACATGCTGCTGCACACTGGTGTACACAGGTGCACGCGACCTTATGGTGGTGGCTAGGGGTGTGGCTGAAGGGCGGGTCCGCGCTGAGCTCCGAGAACGGGTCGGACGGAGAGACACTCACCGGACCGCTGATTCAGCCGCCTTCCGTGAATCCGACCGGGACCTCCCTCCCGGCACGCTCGACACCGCGACCTGTCTGCCCAAAGCGCGCGCCGCCGCCGACCTCTGACCGGCGGATCAGCCGACCGGCCCGGAGCGGCGGGAACGCACAGTCGCACAGTCATCGCACAGTTCGGCCGGCGCTCGGTAGGTGGAGGCACCACCACTACCAGCGCCGCCGGGTCTACTATGTATTATGCAATGTCGTGTCACAGTGTCTGCCACTGTATTGACCATGGGTTAGGTCCCAACTGCAGCCCTGTCCTCAGAATCCTACCGTGACTCTAGTATCGTGTACCGACGACTATCCCTAGTGTTCCGGGCCGCTTGGACACCGATTAACGAGAATAACGAGAAATGGGGCACGGAGTTCCTCGAAGTAATCCCCTTTACCCTCTGGCTATGGGCGGCTGAGCTCAGCGAATCACTGGTGAGCCGCTGCTGTGGTGGCCTCAAGGCCCAACGTCCCGTCTCCCCAACTACAGCAACCCTCACCCTGGCTGCCAAACATTGCGTCATCGGATTGTAATCACGTCAGGTTATCACCTTGTCCGAAGGTAGCCCCTGAAACTGAACCAGAATCGAAGAATATGTCTTTGACAGTGTCAGTGGCGTCATCAGCTGACTTATCACAAGCCACCTAGGCACCACTGAATGCTTTGGCAAACAAGACGCGCCGGATCCGAAACGGGTGTCGGTGTATTATCGAAGCCCACTCCATTCAACAATGGACACATCTCCAATTAAAGCAACAAGCTTGTATAAATGTATATTGTATATTCAGCATCAACATGCACGAAACGTGTAGAAACAAACTTATATAACAAAAACAATCAGAAAGCACCTTTTACCAACGCTTGTAAATTGCTACGGACAGGCGATCCTTCACACGAGCAGTCAGGCTAACCATCGAGTTAAAGGGACCCTCCCACCTTAACATTAGATTTGAGTTGAGATAGCCAAATTGGTGGCCATGGCCTGAAAATACCGGTTTGGGCACTCACAACATCGAAAAATGCTTTAATTCGGAGATATCGAATTTCAAACTTGCAGTTTTCGGATTCTAAGGGGCTAATGCATTGGTATGCCCCCTTAGAATTTGTGACGTCAGCGGAGATCTAACGATTTTAAATCTTTTACTAAAACGTTTGGTAGCACGCGGTGGTATATGCTGCTTTGCGCGCAATAAATGCCGCACTTTCAAATAAAGTCGCTAGGAACCGCGGAGATCCCAAAAAGTAAACAAAAGTAAAAGTCTAATATCTTGAAAACCGGTGAATATTTTTCGATGAAATTTGGTAGATATTCGTTTTTGCTCTTCCTGAACCGAGCGACATCACTTTCATGCCAATTCATTAACTTTTTTGAAGGTGGGAGGGTCCCTTTAAGTACACGCCACATGGAGAGCGTTTTTCGCTGTTTCTGTTCTTCGGATTACTGTATGCACGTTTGGGGTGTTTGATTGATATCACACGTTGGTAGTTGAAAGGATCCACTGTTTCCCTTTCGTTGAGGATCTTTTGGCTTGTCCCTAAAATGCTTAGGTGTCCGAGATAACTAGATGAAAAAGAGGAAAGCGCGCTGCTAGTAATAACATTGCAAACGTCTTCGACCGACCCTGCAGCAAATGACGTTCTCCTAACCATTAGTTTCACCACGCATTCGTTGAAAACAGATTCGCTGAACACTGATTCGTTGTAAATAATAGTATTACGTTCTATGACCATCGACCTCCGTCCGACCTTATAGGGATGTTTAGGGCTGAGTGCTTTGGACGCAAACCACCAACAAATTAACAAACCCACCAACAGCAAATAAACGGCTATGTCGGTTTCTAACCTACTCCACGAAGGTTTCCCACAGACTGGTAGCTGTGGGCAAACACAAAGTATCCCGTCCAAACACGTTTGGTCCCCATATTACAGCAACAGCAAAGTTCGATATAATGCGGAATATATGTAACTGATGCCGTGCTTCCGTACTTATTGGCTATTCTACCCCAGAACAATGTGCAATAAACATATACATTATACATATAAGAAAAATACAGTCGCAAACACCATTGTAACACCCGTTACCAGTTGAGCAATGAGTATATCAGTTCATCTCCACCTCCATACACCCCCAGGGCGTCGCTCGAGCGGCGGCGACTGACCTGAGAGGCGCAGCGCCGCCACAGTCTGCTGACCCGAGCCGGGTCCCTCGGCGGCCGGTCCCGGGCCGAGCTCACTGCCGGAGTCGGGCCAGCGGCGGCGCGTTGAAGCGGCGCATCTCGTCCGCCACGTCGTACTGCTGCTTGTCCACTCCGGTGTCGAGCAGCTGGTAGAAGCGCTGCTGCGTCCTGCGCGGCCAGATCCTGACGGTGGGGAGCTGGGTCAGAGGACCGGGCCGGACCGACATACCGGGCCGGGCCGGACCGGGTCAACATACCGTTCACCCGCAGCCGCCCAACGAGCTTCGACACGGTATCAGCAACCGCAAACTATTACCATCACTTGTATGGTCTCTCGTAGCGGGTGACCTCTCATCTTACTTGGCGAACACCAGATCGTCCCAACAGCCAGGGACACAGAGCTCAGATCAATCCCGGGGCCGGGGCCCAGGGCCAGAGAGTTCAAATCGTCCCCATCAGCAAGATGCAGATCTCGGATCAACCCCAGGACCCAGGGCCAGGGTTCAGATCGTCTGCAGAACCCAGAGACAAGAGTTGAGACCGGCCCCAGGACCCAGAGAAAGAGAGCACAGATCGTACCCCACTTCTGCCGGCGGGACCAGCGCCGTGGTCCGTCCCACAGTCCCAGCAGGTATCGTGTCTGACCTGCTGAACAGGAAGGCCGGGTACATCCACTTGGGGAAGAAGAGGATCTCCTCTCCCTGTTTGAGCGCCGTCACTGTCTCCTCGGCCACGTATCGGGGCGTCAGAACCGGCGTCAGCCAGGGGAACCTGCCGGAAAGGCGCCATAGTCAGCGGCAAAGACACAGACATAAACACGGACATACACCATACACCGAGGAGAGAGAGGAGAGAGAGAGGGGGGAGAGAGGGAGAAAGGGAGGGAGAGAGAGAGAGAGAGAGAGAAAGGGGAGAAAGAGAGAGAGAGAGAGAGAGAGAGAGAGAGAGAGAGAGAGAGAGAGAGAGAGAGAGAGAGAGAGAGAGAGAGAGAGAGAGAGAGAGAGAGAGAGAGAGAGAGAGGGGCTGCTGCTCACCTGACGCGCGGGTACTTGACGAGCCGGGTGTTGATGATGAACGGGAAGACGGTGAGGTAGTGGACCGAGGCGCGGCCCACCTGGCTCAGGTGGCGCTCCTCCTCCGTCAGCGCTTCAGTCAGACCTGCAGGCACACAACGACGTAACTCACTTAATACGGCGCGCGCATAGCGTGGCAAAGCAATCATTGCCTTTCAATGCGGAGACAGAGATACAGCGGACCTACCACACGACCAACACGGCCTACCAATACGGTCAAACCCGCACAGCCTACCAACAGGAACACCACCATGACCAAACCAGCACGGCCTACCAGCAAAGCCAAACAAGCACCGACAAACCAGCACGGCCTACCAACAAAGCCAAACAAGCACTGACAAACCAGCACGGCCAACCAGCACAGCGCTGACAGCCGCCACTCTCTGGCCTCTGTGATGTGCAGCACACAGGATGGAGGCCCTAAAGCCCCTGACCAGTACCCCCACGGTCCCGGAGTCTGCTCACCTCGGATGGCGTGCTTGGAGGCGCAGTAGGGCACCAGGTGCGGCGAGCCCATCAGGCCGCAGTTGGACGACATGCTGACCACGGAGCCGCCGCCCAGACGGTACATGCGGGGCAGGAAGGCGCGCAGCGTCTGTAGAGGACACGGAGTCAGGGCCAGCGGGGGTTGGAGAGCGCTGTGCCACACACAGAATCGGGGCGCTGATCGTGATCGCGACGAAAGAATGCGCTGAATCTACTAGGAATGCTAGGCATCTTCGATATTGCCAAGTCGTAATACCTGCACACTTCTAACTTCCTCTTTTATAAAACAGGTGCAATAAGTGTAAATTAGCTTCGGAAATCGCACGATATCAACAACAATAAGCATTTTACTTGCCACATCCTGTACTGAAACCAAGCAATAATCAAATTTCTACGCGCAACCCAAAAAAGTAATGTGCTGAAAGAAATACTGAAGCCAGAGCTGAGCAGCTAGAAGCATGCGTCGTACCCAGAACTGCGACATGAGGTTGATGTTGACGATTCTCTCCAGCTCCTCCGGGGAGTGTTCTAGGAACGTCTTCACGGGCATGATGCCGGCGTTGTTGACGAGGATGTCCAGCCCACCGTACTCTGCCAACAGCTGGGGAGCGGGCAGGCGTCAGCGACACGGTATCAATACCACAGCCCGCCCTTCTCTGAGCTGAGGAGCGGCCAGTGTGACAAAAGAGACATCAAACATCACGAGGATCTGCGGGTAACACATCCACATCATCCGACCGGTGGCACCGCGGAGGGACAGAGGGTAGGGAGACGCACCTGCTGGGCGGCGCGCTCCACCTCCTGGCGCTGGCTGACGTCCACGCGCTGAGACGAGCAGCGGACGCCCGGACTGGCCGCCAGAACCTCATCCGCCGTCGCACGGTTACCCTCCTGCCGCGGCACGAGCGGGAGTCAGTCACTCGGTCAATGAAGCGTCGTTACCGTCGTTCCCCGTCGCAAGGGTACATGGGTAAACAATGCATTTCATGTAGCGATGACAATGGAGATCATTATTCAAATTTAGCATATCCGACATAACTAACAAACTGAAAAACTGAAATAATTAAGGTCTCAAATAAAGCCTTTAAAATTAAAACAATGCAAAAACATACTTGGCATACCATGTCAAGGACCGATGATGAGAAATATGTAAAGAAGTATGAGAGGCATATCAACTTTTATCATACATTCTATGAAGTCCGCATAATGATCGAGCCACATTCATACCTCCTCGACATCCCAGCAGATGACATTGCAGCCTTCCTGGCCGAAGAGGAGGGCTAGCTCCTTCCCCACGCCGTTGGCCGCTCCCGTGACCTGGGCAAAGAGCACAGCTCAGCAGCGCCGACACAGTAGTTCGTACCGTAAGCGCCCGACTCGCCAGCGGACACACCAGATCACACCGTCAGCGGCTGACTCGCCAGCGGACACACCAGATCACATCACCAGCGTCCGACTCGCCAGCGGACACACTAGATCGCATCATCAGCGTCCGACTCGCCAGCGGACATCGGATCGACAGTGGACACCAGATCGTATCGTACCGTCAGTGCCGCACTCAGCAACAGACCCATCACAGTATCATGGCAGCGAATGGTGGCCAATTGTTTATGAATGGGGGGACCAAGACCAAAAATGAAAAGTCCATGACTGTCCCCATGCTTGATAGTTGGTTGGGTACAGTACAATCATCAGGTACTCACCAAAACGGTTTTGCCTGCTATACTTTTTAGAGATTTTGGTATGAAAACATGAAAAACAGTTTTGACCACATCCCAATATGCTCCCCAGAGAAACTCAACAATATCTATTATCAAAACAAACAGGGCAAAGACTGGGGTCACCAAATAAATCATCTTTGTTCTTCAGGATGTTCCTGGAATAAATAAATCAAGTCAATGTCATGATCAATGGTGTGTAGAAATACATGAAAAACAGACTTTTAATGAAGATACATCTATAATTCATGCATTCTGCAATCTGCATAGGTAGCCTGTAGCACGCCACAAGCTGTTGGGCACTGTTCTTAATTTAATATAGGTAAATGAACTAAGGAAATAAAAGTGAATAGGTAGAAGAATACCATATACCTAGCCTATATGAAGCTGGGTATTTGGATACTCACAATGACTTATTGATAGCCAAAAGATGCCTTGCCGGGTGATAAATGACATGATAGTGAGCCAGGCATTTTTAAATAAATTTAGCTCGAATGTTTGAATGGACGGATTGACAGAGCCGGAACCCACGCTAAGCAGAGCTTGTTGCGTAGACCCCGATCCCTACCGTCCGATCGCGCAATTCCGGGTAACGGGAGAATTTAGATGCCAAAGTTTAACATGCCCTTCAAAGCCGGACACGGCCTGTCTCACTCAACTGACTTCAACTGGCTGCGGCTGCTCCCACCAACCGCAGACCATCCCCGTATGCAAGTGTCATCACATGCGTCAAGCTTCTCAGTCATAGCTGCTCATTATTGTTTCACAGATAAAGCACTTGCTCGAGGAAATGGTTCACTTTCCTGGATTTATTTTTTGCAATGGATTTCATTTTTATGCTCAAAATGATCAGAAAAGAAAAGAAAAACGTTTGTATAAAAGGAATACTTCCTATATCTTAATACCTAAAGGAATTGAACTAGGCACCTACATAAAATAATATTTAGCACAGAAGCCTACTAAGTGTTGACCAATCATATTGCATATTTCAAAGCTACGCATGCCGCATTGGCTGTAAGCAGCATGCCAATTGGATTGGCTGACGATGACGTGGCTGCATTCCTCAGCAAGGCACCCATTCCTCTACAACAACAAGGCACTCTTTATGGAATGATAAATGGAATATCTTCGCCATGTGTGATCGTTAGGCCGTAAAATCTTCTGATTTAGTGCTAGTCTCAGCTCAAGCTACAACACTGCTATTCCAGTTTAAAACCCCATGCTGAAAGTGGCCTATTTCCTTAAAATCAAAATAACCTTGCGTTTCTTACTGATTCACACAGATTCTTACTTGTTTAGTATGACGAACCCATTGCACGCTCAGACTGGCTCAGACCCTTGCTCAGACCGTAGCAAACGGCCAACGCCACACGGAAATGTAAACAGTAACGGCTTTTTTATTAGGAGGGTCAACTGAGTACCGTTATATTCATGTTCTATATTTTCTTTACCAGTCAGCATTTCCTGCTCATTCAGAAGGCCAGCCTTGAAGTCTTCCAACAAGTTGCCAACAAGTTGCCTAGCAACGTTCTTCAACTGCAAAAATGCTGAAAATCGAATGACATTTTTGCGTCTCAAATGTCTTGCCTGTGTCGTTTTTGCAACATTTGGCAGCGCTGACGAGGCTTCTGATATGAAGGAATGCCCCCGAAAATGATAGCAAGCATACAAGGCCAGGAATCTTGTGTAAACCAAGCATAGAAGCCTATGCAGGATAAAATCCGCTTACCTGCAATCTTCATCAGGTAGGCATCATTTATCAAATATGTTTTTAACGTCTGTGGACCCTCGCCGAAATAGTTCTCACGTCAGGCCCTCAAATAACCAATAGCACGCATAACCAATAACCCCTAGCACTGACGCAGACGACATCACAGACATGCCACTACTACTGAGCGTCGCGAACAGTGGACGCAGCATCTCGTCCGTGACCGATGGTCGAGGCGGCAGGGGCGGAAGACGGCCGGCACTCAGGCAGGGCCAGTTCCCCCACAGCAGCCGACAGCCGTCGGACGTCGGTGGCCTCCTTGGACGCGCGCCTGCAGCCGCTCGCTCGCCGAGATCGCGAGTCGAGTGGGCGGCTGTGCGTCAGATACGAGTGGTCAGTCGCGGGCACGCGCCATCCACGCGGACTCTGTACCGTGACGCCGCGGAGATCTGGGCTGACGGCTCGGTGCCGGCGGTAGGCCGCAGCTCGGCCGGTGGACCGCGCACAGTCCGAGCGCTGAACTCACGGGCACAGCGTGAACTATGGACCCAGCCATCGCCAGCATACCGCCGTAACGCACTCTGACTCGTCACCGCGCGCCGACCGAACTGCAGTGAGCCCAACCCGCCGCCGAGGACAGCAGACACGTTCTGGCTGCTGCCCGTTGATCGTGTCGTTCCCTCAGACATCGGTGGTATCGCCGGCCGGTCACTAACCGCCTCAGCTGCGCACAAGGTCGAAACGCAATGAGTCTTACTAACAGCATTTATTCAGCCCAGTGACGCATCCATTGACTATTATACTTATTGCAAATGCAGCCACAGAGATGAACGTCTATAAAGTGCAGGTAATGCTGGACTGGATATACGGCATTCCGCAACCCAAATCAAACCGATTTTGCATATTTTAGACACATTTATATGGCATACATTTAGTTCACGGCAGCTACAAGTTTGGCACTTTTCCCGGAGCACTTCCCAAGGATGTCGCCATCGGGTCGTGTGCCGTTGGTTTTGAACCGCCGGGAGCATTTGGCACAAAGACAAAGTCAATCATAGGGACACGGCGAGCCACAAAGTCTACCATACCGACACAGCAAGTCACACAGAAACATACAGACACAACCAAAGATTTCGACGCAGCACACATGAGAGCAGAGTGCTGGTGCAGCAGGGGCCAGAAAGCAGCACGGACGAACGGGCTGACGGACCGAAGGACGAATGGACGGACGGACGGACGGACGGACGGATAGACGGAGCAACAGCCGACATCGGTCGCTCATACACTTCATGAGCGAATAAACGGCGGAATGCAGTACACAGCACACTTCCTCTGCCAGGTGCGAATACAACTGGACGGTGGAGGGCTCTCTCCCTCCTCCAGCCCCCAGTCCGCACCAGCAGGTGAGTATCATGTGTATCACAACAGCAGAGTAGCCACAGCGCGTCTCGCAGACGAAGAATAATGAGCGGTGAGCACCTCTGACGCAGTCCAGCGCCGGCTGAGGGCTGGTGATCACGCTGGAGGCTCGATGGTCCCACACATGGTTAGTTGACGTCACAAATGGCTAAATACTTTTATGCTAGGCATTCACTACAACTGATTGGGCGCGGAGCGGCCCCCGCCTCGACAAATATCGACTCGGTCACTTAAGTGTAATATCATTGCGAGTTCACACACCGTCTAAAAATTCGATTATGTGAGCTGCTAAGAAATTAATTATATTATTTGCCGTATGCCACCGACGGAGTATGCGTTTTCACAGCCCAAAATGGAAAGAATTAGGCATAAAATCGCACCAGAACATCGTCTCCGTGAATGTTAGTCAAGCCACTTAAATCAAGTCTCCCTCGGCCGGGGAGAGCTAAGTGAGAGCGTTTACAGCAATACATATGTTAGCGTCTTCATTAACAGTTATGCACTACGCAATTATTAACATACCGCAGGGGAAGCGGTGTAAGCTGTAAGTGGTGTTCGCCAGTAGCGAGTCACCGACCACCACTCGCCCCAATACGAGCGGCTGAGTCCTCGTCTGTCGCGATGGACGCCCCTCTCAGCCCGGCAGCGTCGCAGCTATGGCACTATTCCTCCGGTCGGCCTACCGGCGCAGGGGCGGGAGCTGAACCAACTCTTGAGTTCCGCCGGCAGACCCAGCTTCACGCTGGATCAGCGCTGACTGTATCTCCGCCGGACGCTACACGGGACAGCGCTGACTGTACTTGCACTCTCCGCCGGACGCTACACGTCCGTGACTTTACACGGCGTGGTCGGCAGCGCTGTGCTCAGCTCCTGCGGTTCAGCCTTCTGTGGCGTCGTCGGCAGCAAGGTTCTCAGCTCCTGTGGTTCAGCGTTTCGTGATGTCGGCAGCAAGGTTCTCAGCTCCGCCTTCTGTGGGGTCAGTAGCGGTGTGCCCAGCTCCTGCGGTTCATTCTTGGGGACCGAAGGCAGCGCTGTGATCAGTTCGTGTAGCTCAGGCTTCTGAGTCCGAGCGCCCACCTCCTGCTGTTCAGCCTCCTCAAGTTCCGGTGTCCGCCTGGCGGGTGCCAGGAACTGCAGATGTTCGTCCGATGAGTCAGAATCTGTTCTGGAGTGGGGGCGAGCTGACTGGATCTCGGCGTCCCGGGCCCTGGAGGGTGTGTGGCACAGACCTGTCTTAGATGGTGTTCTTGAGGGTGTTTTCGGTGAGGTTTGATATAATGCCACACCAGACGGTGTTCTTGAGGGTGTATTCCGTGAGGTCTGTGATAAAGCTACACCAGAGTGTGACCTTGAGGGTGCCTTGGGCGACATATGACATAGGCCCACCCCGGACGCCGACCTCGAGGGCGCCTTTGGTGAGATCTGACACAGACCCACCCCGGACGGCGACCCCGAGGGCGGCCGGGGTGAGTTCTGGAACAGGGCCAGTCCGGCGAGCACCTTGAAGGGCAGCTGGCTGAGGTCGGCGCCGGAGTTGGTCCGGGACGGCGTCTGGCAGAGGGCCACGCCGGACGGCGAGCGGGACGGCGCGCGCGACGAGTTCTGAGAGGACGCCAGCCGCGCCCCGGACGGCGTGCGCGACGGCGGCCGAGACGAGGAGCGCTTGCCGAACGCGATGGTTCCCAGGGTCAGCGGCAGGTGGACGTCCCAGATCTGCAGGCACCGAGCGAGCTGATGTCATCAGACTACAGCAGCGGACGGCAGAGGTCAGCAAACTGCAACAGCAGCTGGGAGTGGTCATCAAACTACAACAGCAGCTGGGAGTGGTCATCAAACTACAACAGCGACCGGGAGTGGTCGCTCATCTCATCTCATCTCATCTCATCTGTATTTCACATATGTGCAACATATATAGGCATGATGAACGTCCTGGGATTGGTGCACAGCCCAAATGTCTGGGCTATGTCTAGGCACCTCTCCCGGTCAGCCGAACCAAGCCACCGCCGACAACAGCGCCGCCCCGCACGACCCTACCCGACAAAAAGCGCAGTTCCAGCGGCCGCCGCCAGGGAGCCCGCGAGATGCCGCCCCGCCAAAACCGAGCAATCGCTGATTAGAGTCGCCCTGTTTCTATTAAGAAAGACTGGAAGGAGGCAGCGACAGCTGCCTGTTGGCTTTCCGTTAGAAATGAGCCTGTTAAAAGTACGTCTACTTTCGTAGAATCGGTCATATTTATAAACTCAGGAAACACTGTGACTACGTTTTGAATAAGTTTAATTCTGGAGGTGGCGAATATTTGGCAAAACAAGATGAAATGCCTTGACCCCTCATTTTTATAGCCACATCTGCACTGAGGAGACTGTGTCAGTCCAATCCTGAAGAGGTGAGCATTGAGTTCGGATGTTTTTAGTCTCAGCCTTGTATTTAGCTTATTACCCAATTTGGTACCAAGAAAATAGTAATGAGGAGGTTTTTGAACACCGTAGTGTTTGGTGACTGCCTTCCCAAAGGACTTAAGGTTAGGCTGATTTTGTGTCTCAGCACTGAGCGAATTCCATTTGGATATGGAGTCAGGGAAAAAGGAATTCCGGAATGATGACAGGCGGCAGTGATGTGTTGTGATGTTGTCTGCGTTTCGCAACACTCTTCGTGTGTCCTGGTTGCGTGTGGAGAGTGCGATGTGATTGAGAAATTGTGGCGTGGCGATGTGTTCGCTGTTAATCTTGTAGAATTCTGAGAGTTTGTGTACTGTACGTCTTGTTTTCAACGTTTCCCACCCAACGTCGCGCAGCAGGTCGTTCGTCGGCGACCTTCTATGAGCACATGTCACAAGTCTGGCGATTTTGAGCTGCACTCGCTCTAGTCGCATAGCGTCAGTCACAGTAATATTCGAGTCATACACCACATCGCAATAATCGAATATAGGTCGCAAATAAATGTTGTAAATCAAGTTCAGAGTGTTTCGCGGAAGATAGTCAGCTACGGCATAGAGTGGACCAAGTGACTTATTAATTTTACAAATTACATCATTGATATGCTTATGGAAGCGTAAATCTGTTGAAAAAATAACTCCCAGGTGCTTATGGCTTTCCTGTATTGATACAGGTTCCCCGTCAAATAACAGTTTAGGAGGCTGACTTGGTAATTTATTAGAAAACGTCTGCTGCACGGTCTTTTGCGCGTTAAAGGTAATCCCCCACGTTCTACCGAATTGTACAATTGCGTCTAGATCTGTTTGGAGCTGCACCTTTGCTTCTTGCGAGCTGTGTCTGTGTGCTAGGAAAATTGCGGTGTCATCCGCAAATAAAAGCGTAGGACTGGTGGTGACTGCCTCAATGTCGTTCAGATACATTAAGGCAAGCAAAGGCCCCAACACGGACCCTTGTGGGCAGCCCGCTGTAATTTTCTGCGGCGCTGAAATTTCGTTTCCGACAGCGACACTTTGCTTCCTGTCCGCAAGGTACGATCCTAGCCATTCAAGGGCCTTCCCTGTAACTCCAAAAAAATGTTCACATTTAAAAAGCAGCCCTTTGTGTGGTATGCGATCAAAGTATTTGGCTACATCAAGATATATGATTGTAAAAGCACGATTACTATTCAATGCTTCATACAGTTTATGGGTTAGATAGACCAACTGCAGCTGGGTGCTGTGCGTCGGACGGTAGCCACTCTGCGTTTCTGATAAAAGCCTGTTGTCGGTAAGATGCTGGTAAATACGCTTAAAAACAAGGCGCTCGAAAATTTTTGATAGACAGGGCAACAAACTGATAGGCCTGTAATTGGTTGGGTGAGATGCAGAACCCTTTCTTTTAAAAATAGCTGTAACTCTGGCCTCCTTCCAGCTAGAAGGAAATCTTCCCTCCGACAATGACTTGTTAAAAAGGGCGGCAAGAGGTTCATAAATTAAAATAGCTACTAACTTAATTATCTTGTTGGGTAGATTATCGGGTCCACAAGATTTGTTAACATTTAACGAATTAAGCGCGTTCAGAACTTCCTGCTCGGTAACCAAGATGTCGCCCAATTCGGGAATAACTGACTCAGGGGGAGGAGGGAGCTCCGCTGGTCTTTCTGAAGTTGATTGCTTGGCAAAATGGGGATTTAGTACGTCCGCCTTTTCTTTGTCTCCTGTAGCTAGTTCACCATCGGGTTTTACGAGCGGTGGTATCTGAGATGTTTTGCGTTTTCCAATCATTTGTTTCAGAATCGCGTGATATCTGCGCGGATTTTGTTTTTCGGCTACTAATCTTTGCGACTGTTGAATTAAATACGACTTTTTGAGCCGTTTGTTAAGATCTGAGGTAGCATTCCTCTGCTGTCGCCATCTCTCCCAATCACTCGGCGAATCAGTGCGTTTGGCTATCCGAAATAACCTTTCTCGTTTCCGAATGAAACGTTTTAGTGTTGGTGTCATCCAAGATTTATCTGCATCCCTAACAGTAATTCGGCGCTTTTGAATCGCTTTAGAAGCTGCAGCTAGTATTGTTTCCGTAAAATCATTTGTTGCCCTGTCCAAGTCTTGATCTAAAATAACATCCCAGCTGACTCCAATGAGGAGATTAATGAGTAGCGCATGATCCATATTAGCATAGTCCCATACCACATGGGTGGTCCTCGTGTCAGCCTTTGTGGTTTCTATGTCAAGTGTAACGTAAACCGGCATGTGGTCAATGTTAGAGAAAGGTGACAAAGTGCCGCTCTGCATGACACTCTGAACGTCTGACACCGCAATTTGGTCTCTTAAATTGAAACAGTTGACAGATTTCCGTGTTGGCTCGCAAATAAGCTGATGCATGTCAACCTCGGCATATGTGTCGAACAGCAGGCGATCGAAGCTATTGATCCCGCTGTGCGTTACGCTACTGTTACTGAGGAAAATGTTACCACAATTTAAGTCACCCAACAGTACTATAGAAGACGCTCTGAAAGCCTGGGCCTTCAGCACATTTTCCTTTAATCTTTCTGAGAAGTCAAACTGTTGCTGCGCCGAGGGGTTGGGCGGAATGTAAATGCAGCACACAATTATTGATTTTTCACCTATTTTAACATTGGCCCAGATCCACTCTATATCGTTCGACTCGAAGTCGGTCAGTCTGTGCACTGCCAGGTTTGACCTGGTGTACAGTGCCACGCCCCCACCATGACGTGTTCGGTGTCGAGTTAGTGGCTCAGAGTAACCAGGGAGGTGGTACAGGCTCGGGTGGACGTTATTGTCGAGTTTTGTCTCTGTCAGGCAAATGATGTCAACATCGTTAATACGGGCAAAGTGAGAAAGCTCGTCAAGTCTGTCGCTTGCAGTGATGCTGTTGACATTGGCGTGGGAAATTTTCAGTTTTTTGTTGACTGGACCTGGGTTGGGTTCGACACCCCCAATAAGCAGAAGGTTTAGAAGGTTGTGCAAGAGCGTCAGAAGTCTCTTTCAACTACGATACTACGATACGGTCGCTCAACTACGATAGCGGCCGGCGGAGGTCATCGAACTACAGGAACGAGGCTGAGAGCACACACGGATTCACCTAGCTTAGACGTAAGCGAAACAGACATTTGTCCAACTAATAACTACATTTCAAACCTTAGACAGGCCACCTTATGAGGATCCCACCATTCCGAATCATCGGGAACCGATAGATGGCAGATCCACTTTCGGCACTAGATCGCCATGGACCCTGCCACAAGATAAGATGTTCTCAACAATATCATGAAACTAAGCCTAGCCAAGCCCCAACATTAACTAACGTTTGTCAACTTTGCCCATTACGCTTATGCTACCAGTACCCACGGTGGGTGCTATTTAGAACAATGCTGCCCTCTGCCCTGCCGGGCCTTTTCTCCGTGGCCGGCGGCGTGAGTCGGCAGTCCGCTGAGCCCGGGGCCGCCCACCCTGACGTGGTGTTGTGTGACGCTCACCTTGACGCAGTGTTATGTGACGTAGTGTTGATTGTGACCTTGATGTGAGTTGTGACGCCCACCTTGATGTAGTGTGACGCGGCGATGATGCGGCAGACGGCCGGATCGATACCGATGTCGTCTCGCGGCACGGTCAGCTGGAAATGGCGCCACTCGGAGGGATCCAGGCCGAGCCGCTTCTGAGTGAGCACCGGCTTATGGTGCTCCGTGCTGGAGCCGGCGCGGAACTCCTCGCACTGGCCGCAGTTACAGTCACACAGTCTTAGTCACACAGTCACCGAGACAGTTACACAGTTACAGACATAGTCAACAATAGTGACAACGTCAGTCACACTGCCAACTGCGACAATAGTGACAGTGACAAAGACAGACTCGACTGGAGTTACGGTGAGTCAGGCGAGCAGTTCGGTGTGCAGCATAGAAAGTGCACAAAACTACAGCTGGCACTGTAACAGAACCTCCCAGTATTACCTACATCTCCTAAGGAAGGACCACACGCAGCGTACTCGTTATGCTTGCTCACCCTCTTCAGTTTGACGAGTCCCTCGTTGCGCGCCAGGGCGCTGAGCACGTCGTCCGAGCCGTCTAGGTACACGTCGATGGTCTCTCCTGCCACGAAGCCCTGTCGCGGCAGCATGACGGTGAATTGTCCGGGGTCCTCGCGGCGCGAGGTGCTGCTCTTGGCCTTCCGCTCCACCACCAAACGACGCTGTCACAGATACGGAGAGCGTCAGTCCGCTGTCACAGATACCGGAGCGTCAGTCCGATCAGTCCACTGACAGATACTGGAGTGTCAGTCCGCTGTCAGAAACCGGAGCATCAGTCCAGACTGTCACAGATACGGAGAGCGTCAGTCCGCTGTCACAGATACCGGAGCGTCAGTCCACTCTACGATATGGATGCGTCAGTTCGCCAGTGTTCTAAAATTGGATATTGGTTGGGTGTGCCGATGAAGAAAAAAATCCTAGGATGAGAAAAAAGAAAGTAAATAACTGCAGTATTTTTGCAAAATGGTGTGATGCCAATTTTTATGCTAACTGATAAACCAGGATTTCATGTCAGGATCCTGACAGGGTGTGGAACAAAAGGATGTGGGTGCATCAACTGTCAAGTGACAAGTGAACTGGCTGTTGGGAATACATGAAACTCTTTTCAGAGATGAAGTAAAGTCGGTGATTCATATTTTAGGGATGAAAATATTTTCCCCATTAGGTGTGATTTGCCACCAAAAAGGCTGAAAAATGAAACACTGCAGTTCGCTGTCACAGACGGAAGGGGGCGTCAGTCCTCTGTCACACAGTTAGCTGTCAGATACGGGGAGTCAGCCAACTGTCCGTCATTCTGCTGACAGATGCGGGGAGTATCAGTCTATAACTGTCACAGTCGGCCGTCGGAGCTATGTCAGGAGCGTCAGTCCACTGTCAGATACGGGACCGTCCCTGGGAGGCGCGACTCACGGCGAGGTGCGGCAGCGCGTTCAGGTCTCGGCGCTGCAGCATGGTGATCTCCAGCTTGGTGGTGCCATTCCAGGCACTTCCCAGCGGGCCGGAGACGGCGCGCGCCACCATCTTGTAGGCCACCTCTCCGTGCTCGTACAGCCGCGAGTGCGGCAGGCCCGCCGGCAGCGTGAAGCTGAAGTTGAGCTGGTTCTCGCCAGGTGGTAGCGTGGCCACGGCGCCCTTCTTCACTGTGGATCACAGCGGGGTCAGGGAGAGGTCACAGCGGGGTCCGACAGCGGGGTTACGACTCACGGCACTCTTCCTTATTGTGGCTCACAACGGGCCAGAGCAGGGTCAGAGAGAGGTCACATCTGGTCACAGTGGAGCCAAACAGTTGCGGGGGAGTAAAAACTTGCGCTTTTAGCGTGGATAGCGCTTCAATCCCAATAAAATATGAACCTAGCATTGCTAGCGCTTCAATTAGGTGGTACTTGGGCGAATTTGAGCTTAGTTTTCAGCGGAAATCGGCAATCGGCATTGAATCCGGTACGATAGAAATCTTAATTCACGGGACGCTATCTCCGTCAGTGGCCTGTGGCAGACGTAGAAACTGCAGTCGCGGTAACTTACCTCGCAGCACGGGCAGTACCAGTTTGAGAAAGGTCTCCTTCTGGGCGTGTTTGGACGACCAGGTGCCGTTGTGGGTGGTCCAGTGGGTCCGCGCCTGGCCCTTCACCGTCAGCGTTACCTCTGTGAGTCGAGTCAGGGTGGGTTAGAGCCGGTAAGACCAGCCTGAGGTCAGAGCAGAACAAGTCAGCAGCGGCCACTGATCAGAGCAGATCAAAGGTCAGAACGGGTCAGAGCAGGTCAGGTCAAAGCGACACGAGGTCGCTGGATAGCCAGAGGTCACGGATCGTCAGCTGAGGTTCCAGGGTGATCGACACGAGCCTCCACTCATCGTTCGTTCATACAGTGACACTCACCTGTCAGTTTGCAGCCGGCGCTGCCCGTGATGGAGACCACCACCGCTCCGCGCACCGCGTCCCCGGGCATGAACGAGTCCGGGCCGCGGCCGCTCGGCTTCAGCACGATGGACGTCCCAGAGATCCCCATCGTCAGAGTCCGCTGTAGCTGTCCACTGCTGTCCACCGTTCGCGTCGCCGTCCGCTGGGCTGGCAACAACAACCGGCCGGGTTAGCGGCGTCCGATGGATTACCAATTGCAACAAATGCCCGTCCGATCGGAAAGGCAGCGCGATATTATCTCGCTCTGCAATTGGTGGAAGCTGTCCCTGGATATGGATTAGTTCGAGATCGCCGAGCGGTAAAAGTACTGGCAGTGGAAGATAGGATTAAGGACATCACTGGTAATGGCAGGGCAGAGCGGGTACAGATACTGATGACCGTACGGTACTTTTGGTGCGACACGGAGCCCTCGATGGAGGACCGAGAGGAACAGGTGCGGAATGGGTCCTGTGTCAAGACAATGTCAGGCCGGTCAATTTGAATCGATTCTCGAAAAGAACTATTCACAAATGTAGTCTCAAGGTTGTTTCCCGGCGGTTTACGGTAAGCCATTGAAGCTTCTATAACGCGTCACATATTTACACAATTACATTGATTAGACACCGAAATCTTCAGTATCACAACATGAAGCATTGGTGTAATGGGGACGCCGCATTCCTTAGTGATGCGGCCCAACTCACCTCTTCAGCTGACAGTCAACGGACGAATACCGGACGGATTCTGGGCGCCTGCTTTCCCTGACCTCCGCCTACTGGGGGAGCGGGCTTCGGTCTCACAGCACTGCAGTTAGCTGACATATGCACTGGACACTCAGCCGGCACCCCACTGGCCCCAAACACCACCTGATGGCCGGCGATACTAGCCCCGTCTGTCCCGCCGCCGGCCGGCTGGACGCCGTGTCTGCCGGCCCCGTGCCCTGCCGCCCGGTCCAGCCGGGTCCGCCGGGGTCCGCGGCCCGCCGGACCGGTCCCAGCAGTCCCTACTGCGCCTGCGCGGCCCGCCGACCGCGCCAGGTGAGACGGCGCCGGTCACAAGGTCAGGCAGAGTCGGCACGGTGGGCGGGCGGGCCGCTGGTGCCGCCCGGACGCTCCCCGGTACGTGGGTCGAACGACGCAGGTCGGGCCGTATCGTGTAACCGTGCGCGACCTAAGCTGTGAGGCCTGTGCCCTGTACACGGTCCACAGCGCAGGACAATTCAGCAAGGGTCGCTCCCATATACCCGTTCCACTCTCTCCATTTCTATAGATATATGTTCGACATATGTATTCTATATTCGTCTACTGCGCCGCACCAGCCGCCGTGGTCCCGCTGTTCGCCAGTGCAGTGCACGGTATTTACAATAGTTATTTCAGACCGCCGCCGGGCGAGGATCAGCCTTGCCACGGCCGTTACCGTGGGGAAAAAGGAACTCGCGGCGCAGCAGTCACGGACATTCTGTGAAACTAACGGGACCGACCACTGCCACTTTCACCAATCGATGCAAGAAACAACAACGAGACAAAGACGGCCTTGTCATGGACGTATTTATACGTAAAGCACCGAAAAGTGAGTCATTCGGCTTCCTCAATCTTCTTTCCGTGCTCTCGCTGGGTGACTTCGATTTTTCACGGACGTCGGGCGGCGCGAAAATATATTTGAATTAAATATCGCATTTGAATAGCCTGAATAATACGCTGCTTACACAACTATAAAGGACTTTATGTCTCAATTCATTTAAATCTTACAGTGACCTATCGGTTTCCCCTACTCCACGTAACTTGTGCAAACCCTCACCGTTTCGTCACTTACTGGCAGTTGGCACAGAGCTTTACCGAAAAGTCGAGTATGCGCCGTTACAACACGAAGCGACTGGCAGCCGATTCTAAGGTTCCTTCGAGGTAAGGCCAGATTGATAGGGTAGGGGACCAGTTTTTTTTCGTGAGTATTTCCCTAAACATGTAGGGCTGCAATTTTGACCATATTGTGTTTTTCATGTTCAGCTGCGTCGAAAATTATGCTTTAATTTGTAACGGTTCCCTGGCACTGAGGGCGTTGCGAAGTTGCGACGTCTTGTAGTGTACCGTACAGGGGTTCACTTTTGACGTCATAAGTCCGTGACCTGGCCTGAAAATACGGATGGTGTCAAAGGATCCGGCTTGAAGCTGATCGGGCCTGTAAGTCACGTATGCTCGCTTTCACTCAGCCCCTATCGCTTATGCACTCCGATCAACTCAGCGAAAAACAGTCTGAGGTAGGTAGCACCCGCTCGGCAGGGAAGGTTTCCGATCTTGGCATGTCGGCTAACGGTCTCAAAATAAATGTCATCCACTGTTTTAAGAACACATCACACAAAGCCCGAGTGCCACGAAAGATTAAAGGCTCTATTTTGTTCAGCTCGCCAGTAATTACCATCCTTCAGATTTCTTCAGCCGAAGACATCGCTGGTCGGGTGGGGTGCATGACCATGTGCCCTTCTCCCACGATGCCGTGAGCCTGACGCCCAGCCCACCCTCGCATGATTCTCACGGCGTCGTGGAGCTAAACTCCGTCTTGTTGTAAAATCCATACAAACATCGTTGCTGAGTTTCGATTCGCTTCGCTCCATTCGAAAATTCGTTTCATCCCTTCAAAATGTACCAACAGCACGCACAAGGCGAACTCCTCGGCCGTTTCAAAGCAAGATAGCTACCTACTTCTTTACGTCGGTAACCTTGAGGAAAACACTGAGATACTGAGATACGATTTAAGACTTTGTAGTTTTCGAGCCTATAGCAATTGTGCCTTTCATTAAAGTTAATAAACGCTACTTGAAAACCACAGTCATTATGACACCGAACATACGAACGGATCTCGTTTCTATATTTTTCGGGTAAAAAAAAAACAAAACTGAAATGATATTGCACAGTTATTCATGTCCATTGCCCAATTCTTGGATTCATCCAGATGGGGCGTAATTCAGTCCACAGCAAATTGTCACAATTCTGAAATCTCAGAAAATATATCCTCTGGGTACTCACTGCACTCATGCCCCATACAATGCCCCATACATACGTGATACAAACTACAGACTGGCCCATATATGTCTTATAAGTTTCGACCCCGTCCCGTCAGGTCCATTGACTCCTCCTTGGCACATCAGACCGACCGAGTGTGGGTGTCCCTCGCCGCTGACCGGGCCGGCGCGGTCAGATCTTCAGCTCTGCGGAGCCCTCCAGCTGTCCCTGGTACAGGCTCAGCACCGGCGCCACCTCCTCAGAGAGAAACTTAGACACCTGGCGGAGGACAGCGGGAGAAGCGGGCGTCAGACCACATCGATCGAACGAACCGTCAGGCAACACCGGTAGGATGGGACAGGACCGTCAGACCACACCGATTACATCGACCGTCAGTCAAGACTAGACGGCCAAACAATACAAGCGCGGAGATGGGAGGCCGGGCCGCCGCGCGGTCTGGTCAGCACATATACACATCGCTCTACAACCGACACAAGGCTCTCTCCTAGCCGATTCTCGGCTCTTTCCCCAGCTGTTTCCAGTCGCGTCCCTCCCCAACCGATTCCCTGGGAAGTGGGTACCCCCTCCCTGCCACCACCGGTGCCCGAAGTCGCTCTCACCTGCTGTTCGGCTCGGCCGGTGAACGAGGCCGGGTCCAGCAGACTATCCAGCCGGGCGTGCACTGGCGCAAAGTAGTCCGACTGGCGCAGCCGGCTCACCAGGTCGTTATCGAGACCCTCCTGTTTGACCCGGTCTCCGGCCGCCTGCGAGAGCACCCGCAGCTGCTCGTGACACTCCTGGGGGAGGGACGGGATTCGGTCACACCTCTAACAATACCCGGTCGAGCTGCTCCTGGTACAAGAGCAGCTCTAACTTGTCCGTCAGGCAGACTCGCAGTCTCAATCACCTACCCGCTGGCGCCCAATCACAGGGGCCCGCGCACCCACTGACCTGTCTGTCGGACAGTGGGGTACACAGTTTCACTGACCTGTCTGTCGGCGCCCTCCTTGACCATGGCCATGATGATGTTCTCGGCGGCCATGAAGGGCAGTTCCTGCTGCACGTGGCGCTCAATGACGCGCGGGTAGACCACCAGTCCCTCGCAGATGTTCTGCAGCGTCATCAGTACGCCGTCCGCCGACAGAAACGCCTCCGAGAGCGTGATCCGGCTGGTAGCGGGAGCCCGGGGCAGCACGGGTCAGAGAGGTCAGTGTGGGGTAAGAGAGAGGTCAACAAGGGGTCACAGGCACAGCAGGTGACAGGGGATCAGCGTGGGGTCAGTGTGGAGAGAGAGAGAGAGAGAGAGAGAGAGAGAGAGAGAGAGAGAGAGAGAGAGAGAGAGAGAGAGAGAGAGAGAGAGAGAGAGAGAGAGAGAGAGAGAGATGGAGATGGAGATGGAGATGGAGATGGAGATGGAGATGGAGATGGAGATGGAGATGGAGATGGAGATGGAGATGGAGATGGAGATGGAGATGGAGATGGAGTTAGAGATGGAGATGGAGACAGACAAACACAGAGCGGGGCAACCGTTGGCCGTTCGTACGTACCGGTTGGCCGAGTCGTCCAGAGTGCGCTCCATCCACTGGGTGGCGGCCGTCTGAAGTGCGTTGGACGGCAGAGTCATCAGGTGGCGGGCCAGCGCGCAGCACCGCTCTGACCTGGCACGGGGAGGACACAGCACCGTCACAGTGAGACACCCAGTGACCGAACAGTGCCACAGTGTGACAGATGGACAAACTCGGCGTCAGTGGCAGTCCATCGGTTCGATGAAGCATCCAAATCTCTGAGGGTTCTCATCGGCGACGTCGCTGATCCAAGTCAACCCTCCACCCTCCCTGGCAGCTGGAGACGGCGCACCGACAAAGCGTCTGTCCAGTTTAGCCCCTCACGCCATCGGCCACCCATGAGTAAAGCGGGACTCCTCGTGAAGGGGAGCACCGAACTCAGGGGTTTCCGCTTCCCCCTTCCCCGAAGAGGGAGGGGGCTCAGGGTACCAACCTCATGGGGTTCCGTTTGTAAGGCATCGCTGATGAGCCGATCTGCGACTTCTCGAAGGGCTCTTCTAGCTCCTTCATGCTGGCCAGTAGCCGGATGTCGGTACACATCTGGGAATGGGGCCGCTCGGTCAGCGCATGGTCCCAGTCACCAGCTCACGGCCCACGGATACCATCCCACGGACAATGGATACCAGATCACGGACAGTCGGAGGTCAGTACTCAGTCCACATCTGGGAATGGGTGTCGCTCGGTCATCACACGGTCCGCCTCGCCAGCTCATCGACAGCCGGCCCAAAATGCCGTCAAAAAGATGCAAAAGTCCGATCCGGTTCAGTCCTGTCGGATTTTTACCAGAATTCTGTCCTGACAGAGACCGTGCCGTAATCTGATCCTGACCGTTTGGGTGCCTCAGCTTTGGTCTGCCTACCCCCTGGCAGTGCCCGTGCAGTGTGGCTTGACCCTAAAAGAGCCCAGCCAGACCTGACGAACCCTGGCCTCTGCGCGTTGGACGAACCCCGGACCCCGACCCCCCACCACACCATCTCTAACTGACCTTGTGCGCGGTGGCGCCGAGCGCTGCCAGGGCCTGCACCACCTGGACGTCCACTTTACGCGGGTACGTCTGACCGCAGATGGTGTAGCACGAGCTGAACCCGGCCAGCTCAGTGACCCGGCGGTCCAGCCGCTGCACCTTGTCGTGGTCGCCTGCCGACGGACAGAGCTCCGGTCAGCTCAGCCCCAGTTGGGCCTGGCCAGGTCGGGACAGGCCCCGTCACTGCAGGGCAGTTCAGCGCCAGTCCGGTCACGTCAACAAGGTTCGGTCAGAGCAGATAATCACAGGCTAGCTCAGCAGGGGCCGTGTTCAGGATAGGTCGGGTCGGATCGGGCTAGGACGGGTCGAGTTAGGTCAGGTCGGGTCAGTTGAGGTGAGCTTGGGTCCGGTCCGTTCAGGTTAGCTCAGATCAGGGCAATTTGGGCAGGGAAAAGTTCGGGCTGGCTCAGGTCAGTTCGGGTCAGCTCGGTCAGGCTAGGTCAAGCAAAGTCAGCCAGCATCGCCAACGGACACTGACAGGTCTATCCACCACCCATGACAAGGCGGTACACACCCATGACATCCTCTGCCCCGATCGCCGCGGTACGCGCCAGGAGTCGCCAATCTGAGCTGCTCCCGACACTCCCCCTCCCCCCGGCCCGCTCACCGTCAAACAGCTGGAGGAACGAGGCCTGCGTGCCGGTGGTGCCCTTGACGCCGCGGAAGCGCAGCTGGCTCCGCAGCTGGCGCAGCGCCGCCTCGTCCTGCAGCAGGTCCTGCAGCCAGAGGCAGGCGCGCTTGCCGACCGTGGTCAGCTGGGCCGGCTGCAGGTGCGTGAAACCCAGTGTGGGCAGCGCGGCGTGCCGCTCGGCGAACGCGGCCAGCCTCTGCAGGCAGCGCGCCAGCCGCGGCAGCAGGATGTCCAGGCCATCCCGCAGCACCAGCAGGTCCTGGCGGCGGGGCGGACCGTCAGACAGATGGAAAGGCAGGCGGGACTGCTCGTCAGGCGGATCAGACGGTGGGGCATGACGGACCGTCACACAAACCGAACGGACCGTCAGACAGACAGACCGACAGACCGAACGGTGGGACGATGACATGTGCCTCTCAGGCACAAATGTGCTATTACAAACCTAAAACCTCTCACACTCGCCAGGTTCTATGGTCCGGCCCTCTCCAGACGACCAGCGTTTGACAGCAGAGCACCTACCTTACCGTGAACACACGTCATCCACACATTTAGAGCTCACCGCCGATTGTCACCGTAAGTGGTTCCCCCTCCCCCTCCCCCCCCCCCCCCCCGCCTGCCTCTCCGGCCCCGCCGCACTCGGTTCCGCTCCTCGACTTCGCATCCGCTCCCGTTCCCCCTGCCGATACGTACCGTGTTGTCGCCCACAAAACACGAGGTGGCGCCCAGGTGAATGACGCCGGACGCCTGCGGACACGCCGCCGCGAACGTGTGCACGTGCGCCATGACGTCGTGCCGCACGCGTCGCTCGTGCTCGGCGGCGGCGGCCAGGTCGACGTCGTCCAGGTGGGCGGCCATCTCCTCCAGCTGGGCGTCAGTGATCGGCAGACCCAGCTCCTGGGGACGCCACGACGGCAATTAATGTACAGCTGACCAGTACAGCTGTGGGTCACAGAGGTATCACATGGGCTAGCAGTCACATGACCCTTCCTGTTTTATGCTTTACATAGCCAGTTACCTTCTCTGCAGATTGAATGTACCTCTGCTGCTTAAACCAACCAATGTTTGACAGACAAGGAAAATGTTTATGGCTTTACTACATCATTTTCTATTTTTGCAGCTCACCTTTTCTGCTTGAGCAAGATAGAGCCAAAGCTTTCTCCAGGTTGAAAACTTCTTCTGGTCACTAAAGTTGTAATTCATCTCAGGTGATGTGTACCGTGAGGCCAGTGGTGACTGGTATCTCTTGCTGATGTCCCTCTCCATGGCGTCACTGATATCACAAAGCAGCTAGGGAGCTGAAATTAGGAAACTTAGTTAGGATATTTTATTTTCCAGCCTCTTTTATATACCTCAATGCATAAATCTGAGGTGAATACAGAAAATGGCAGCCCAAAATGACTCTTAACTTTTTGATGTATCAACCTTGGGCCTTGGGGTCCTAACTGTGGTAGCTGTGTCAATGTTAGGAGATTTATACGTTGTTTGTTCCCTTTGTAGTGAATCCCTTCTTTTTATCAGGGATGCGGAGCCATGAAAATTTCAGACAGCTTTGGCTCCGGCTCCAGCTTCGGAGAAATAAAATCGGCTCCGGCTCCGGGCAAAAATGTGCCGTCTCCGCACCCCTGCTTTTTATCCTAATCATGTACTCAAGCTCAACATATATGCATTGAATCGGTTTTGTTCATAGGTCAACACTCTGAGCAGTGTTGACCCTCAAAAACCATGCCATAACTTTTCAAATAGCGTCACATGCGAAGTCACAGCACCTGTTACAGCTGCAATTGCACACATAATTTGCATACAGTAAAAATACACACTACTCGCAACTCCCTTTCACTTTCCCTTTTTCATATATTTTCCCTTTTTACTGGACTGTAAGCTCAAACTGTTAAAATGATAAAAAGAACTCAAGGAAACATGTTGACGAAAAGTTTAGTTTTAGTGATTATATTGAATCACAGTAGGCGGAACTATGGTCAAGCGTACCCATTTTCGGGAACGCATTTTCGTTCCCATGTTTGGGAACGATAAACCCAAATATGGGAACGCCATGTAGGAATTATTTAAAACAAGAAAAAGAACCGTTAAATGACGTCCAAAAAATATAAAACGATCGTGAACCGCCTGATATTTGTCTCAATATTGTTGCGAAAGAGTTCGATATTGTAAGGCCCATCGTAGTTTCAAATCGTTCCCCTATTTCTAAAGCAGTCCATCATTCGGGCCGCGAACCCAAATTTGGGAACGCTCTCGTACACTGGCGCTGCAAGCGTTCCTTATTATGGGAACGGCGTACCCAAATTTGGGAATGATTTCAACGACGTCTTTCAGGGGCTCTTTTCATTAACAAGCATCACGTCCAACGCCGCAAATTATTGTTAACACAACAATCATCAGATGACCTTTCCGGCAAGACCGTCGCATGTTTCGCCCGGTCTTCTGCGCTTTTATTCCCGTCGATCTTGCAGCGGGCACGCCCCCCTCTGCAGGATTATGTAATTCACAACGCTCAGCGATGTTCAACAAGGTCTTCCATACCTATATCCACCGTCCGCGCCGAGGGTGGAGACATGTCAAGCACCTGTCTGTTTATCACCGATAGGTGACGAGCACAAGGAAGTATCCAAAAATGGGAACGCTGAATATGTTACACCCTCAAAACACCTAGTCCCATGGAAAATCTACTTTTTTCCTTTCTTAATGAGTGTAAGTGGCAAAAGGCCTGGTAGGATGGGCACGAGGAATGATCGAAATCAGCATAAAAATTATAAATAAGCCACACAGAGCGACCTATATAAGAGAAATTCCCCCAAAACGATCATGCTTAGAAACAGGGAAGACAAAAACCACGCTCATGACGCTCCTTATGAAACAACGCTAAACAGCTAGCATCCAAATAAAATATGTCTTTCCGGGCTGATAAAATACAGCTGAATAATTTTAAACCACTGAAACTGAGTTTACAACAGTAGTTCGGTAAAATCACTGACGTTCCACGCGGTCGTGCGCCCCGACACCAAAAGTCAACATAATTACCTCGGGACTGTCCGCGTGTTCGCTTGCATATGTCAGCATCTAGTGTCGCTAGAATGAAACTTCATAACCAGGCGAAAATTATTATACTTGACCTCAAAATATTAAAACCGCTTCATTTTCCTTTAAATTGCATGTTAAATGTAGTATAACCCATGTTTTCACCATTCCGTCATTTCAAAAAATCATTAAAAATATCATTCGACGGTCAATTTCCTTGTTCAACGGTCAGATTAAAGATAATTTTATAGAGATTTAGTAGGTACTTAAATTAGCGTGCACTTTTTTGAGACATGATGCACTAATGAGTTTTAGTGGGCGAACGGCCGAAAAATTACCTTCCGTTCTCATAAATGGGAACGCCCGTTCCCATATTTGGGAACTCCGCTCCCAAAAATGGGAACGTTCCTATATTTGGGTACTCATGACCATAGTTCCACCTACTGATCAGAGTGGCTTCCAGTAGCTCATCTGTGTAAGAACTAGTGGTGTCAATTTCAGAAAACGTATGTCCAAAGTCTGTCCAATGTCCAATGCTTACGTCGATTGTCCGTCCAAAAATGTCCAAGCCAGCCATTTGTCCAAAGATGTCCGACACCTACGCAATAGTTTACACTCAACACTGTTATTTAATTTGCTTTTCATAGGCCTGGTCGGAATCGGCTGACAGAACTTTGTCAGCCGAGAATAAGCCCCGCCCACACCACGCTGCTGATGGGCTTGTTCATAATCGGCTGACAGGAAACGTCAGCCCAGATGGCGCTGAGATGCTAAGATGGCGCTCGACAGATAGTGTTGAGAGTTGAGACTTGAGGAGAGGTAGCATTTTCGCGCTTTTTTCAACGACTATCTTCCGTTAGTCGTTACATTATATTTCTGAGGTTTATTTGCTGAGGCTATAGAAAAAATTACAGGATTGATAATTGAGGCGGTGCTGGCATTTCGATTTGTAGGTACTGTTTTCAGGCTGACTCGCACATTGCGCCATGAAAAAGAAATAATTGCTATCTTTCGCGAAAATTTTTTAAAACAAAATACGTCAAAAACATCGTATATAAAAACTAACCACCTGCACTATAAAGCTGCGCTTTGACTTACATGCGCCACTTTCGAGCCACTTTGAATCTCGGCTGACGTGCTGCTGCCTTCTCCCAGCAGCCGAAAAGCCGGCTGTCAGCAGAGGTATGACGTCACAGCACGGGAAGGCGTGATACGTCATCAATATCTCAACCAATCAGGGGCTTGGATCTCAGCTGACAACAGCACAGCAGCCGATTCCGACCAGGCCTCTTGTACCGTTACAAGCTCAAAAGTGTTAATCATATCGAAAGCTGAGCTTTCTAATAGCCAATCAATGTTAAACACGACTACTTTTTAAAAATGTTGAGGTGTAGCAAGCGATTGTCCAAAGTTGTCCAAAGCCTGCTGCCATTGTCCAACCGAATTCCGAATTGGACATTGGACAAAATCGGAATTCCGAAGATTCAAGTTCCGATTGACACCACTAGTAAGAACACATAGCAATAACAGCGAAGCTCCGACCTATAAATCTATACCAATCTTGAGTATTGACACGATCTAATGAAAATGTTTCTCAAAATGCTAAATTACATTGAAAAACCGGCACATTGACATATAACACTCACCGCACCGCACCACCAGCGTTACCGCTGGCGTCTCGCTGGTTTCCCCAGATTCTCACGAAAATTTCCCTATTTTAAAAATCATTTCCCTAGATACGGTTATTTTCATGGCGTATTTGACGTACTATTTTCATTTGAATTTGACCTCCTCATTCTAACCATTCGTGCTATAGTCGCTGCGTCCCAAAACAGCAATTTACTACATTCTGTGACGTTAACGTAAGAGATTCTAATGAAATTGCTGGCATATAGCAAATAACTGTACGTGGTATGGTTGGTTGGTTGGTTTGGGTTAAGCACCCAGTAAACATGCCGACGTCGGCCCGACGTCGGGCCGAGGCTCGGCCCGACGTCGGCCCAACGTCGGTTCAACCTCGGCCCGACATCGGCTGGACGTCGGATATGCCCGCATGTTCCGACGTCCAGCCGAAGTCCAGCCGACGTCGAGCCGACGTCGGGCCGAGATTGTTTGCCGAGGTTGACGAGATCGTTTGTCGTTGGACCGACGGGGCCGACGTCGGCATGTTTATTGGGACAACGCGCCAAAAATATCAACCGGCGGCGGGATTCGAGCCCCCCACTCGCCGACGTCGGCATGTTTACTGGGACAACACGCCAAAAGCATCAGCCGGCATGGGATTCGAACCCCGTGTTATTCGAACGCGAGGCTAGTGCGCTAACCACTACACCACGGAGCCAGCTAACGAGTACGGTTTGTTTTGTTGGGCTATGCTCTTTCGGTCCGACAAGACCATTTCAGAGCCGGAAGGATCATAGGATGGAGACATTGGTCTTCTTGGCGAGCACCCTGGGTCCAGTTCATATAAAGTCCAGCTGGTCCCATTGCTGTTACGTGACACTTATTGGGAAGGGCGACCCCACAATGGATTCATATAGCCACTCTTACACACCTGCACCAACGTTTCCCAAAGTGTCCCTTTGATAAGTGGCACTTTGGCAAAGTGACACTTGCCGACTGGCCTTTCTATATGAACTGGGCCCGGCTCTGGTGAGTTGCCGGGGCTGAGCCTGACCAAAGGATAGGCCGAGCAGCCCCCAAGCACTGACCGCACCCGGCTACGGGCGAGCTCGGCTTACGGGCAATCCCAAATGGGATAAAGTTTCCCGTCCAGTCCGGATCAAGGGGTTGCGGCGTGGAGGAAGATTTGAGTTTCCTGAGGATATTTTGAATACAGAAGTTCTTTATGAAACATGAAACATGTATTTTATATTATTTTAACGGTCAAAACAGCGGCCGATGTCGGTCCGACGTCGCCCCGACGTCGGCTGGACCTCAGCAATTGATCTCGGTCCGACGTCGGCCCGACGTCGGCCGGACCTCGGCTGGCCGTCGGAACATGCGGGCATATCCGACATCCAGCCGACGTCGTGCCGAGGTTGGACCGACGTCGGGCCGACGTCGGCATGGCGATGCCGAGTTGCCGACGTCACCCCGACGTCGGCCGACGTCGGGCCGACGTCGGCATGTTTACTGGGCACCACATCCAGTGGACCAAGGTGCTAACCGGAACTCTCACGCTGTTCCAAGCGGTCAGGTAGCGGCAATGCCACGTGCATTGCCCGGGAACGTGGTATGGTATAATTGAGTGGTATATCGCAAATTGTGTGTTGCGACTCGAGGCGCGGGAAACTACCGTATGGGTAGCGGTAGTGCTGGCGTAAGAGACAAGTCGATGCATTATTTTGCACCGTCAGTTTAACCGTAAGGAAGTGATATGCGCTAGACATTGTAAAAACCACGCCAAAACAAAAACTGATGTAAAAAATTAGCCGCACCCGAAATGGTACAAAGCAGCAGTTCGTTTTGAAATAATAGCAAGAATTATATATAACTACATGCCTAGGTACGTATGTAATTCCCTTCATATCTTTAAAACAAGAGCATCAAACCTTAATTTTGTGAAAAATGTTCTCATATTTTTTTTTTATATGGCATGCGGAAGAATAATTTATGACAATAATGATTTCGATTGTTGAAAAAAACAACAATTTTTCGGGTTTGTGGCATTTCCCTAGATTTCGTGTGAAATCCATATATCCCTAGATCTTCACTGATTTCCATAGAAAAGGGAAATTTCCCTAGCAGCGGTAACCCTGCGCACCACTCACCCACCGAACGCCGGGAAAAAAACGTCATGCCGCTATCGTATGAGTTGCGCCATATAAGCAACAAATGGCAGCATATGGTAGCTGGGGGAAAAGACCGAAAACCCTTTAGAACCGCAACGAAATGGTCAGCGCTCGGTATAGAACCAAGGTAGAGAGTAGAGACCGTTCCCTGCTTCTATCCTGGGGATGCTGAAATCCTTCTCCTCAGTCCTCCACGCCGCAACCCCCTCCGGCCTGGAAGCGGACAGGCACCTTTATCTCATGCGGGCTGCTCCCTTGGAGCGGCACCGCTGCTCCCTTGGAGCGGCACCGCTGCTCCCGAGGGAACGCACCCCGTAGCCGGGTGCAGCGAGTACCTGCCTGTCCTTCGGGATGGGCTCAGCCCCGGTGACTTACTGGGGTGCCTGCCCAGACCAATGTCTCCCCCTAATTCCTAGCATCCTTCCGGCTCTGAAATGGTCTAATTGGACCGAAAGGGCCTAACCCAAAAAACAAACAAACAAACAAACAAACAAACAAACAAAGGTAGAACGCATAGCCTTGGTCGGCTTCGTAGAATGTAACCGCGGAGCGGATGCTCCTGTCAACATTCCTCGGTTCCGATTCAGACTAATTGATACTCGACAAAGATGAGAGACGGGATAGAAGCGATAACGAGCCGGCACGCACAATGTACAGTGTACACGACCACCAGCAATTACTTATCCAATATCCATAGTCGATTCATAGTATTGTTCATGGCGTTATGCAGCTCTGCGACGCACTTTTTGATAATTAGTAATAAAGAATCGACTAATCGCTGCGATGAGTGAAGGAAGAAGCAATAAATGTTCCACTGGTGGGATAAGTGATTCGTAAAGGCGGCGATGTCAAGGTATTTCACCCTAACTTCAGCAGCAGTAGGCGGCCGACGTTTGGGGACATAAGGGAGAGCCCTCGCGCTATTCGGTAGTCGCTTAGTTTATAAATGTTTGTTCCAAAACGTAAAACAAAGTGGCCACAAGCATAGACATTGAATGCAGACTTCGTTGTCAAGCTCGCATATATTGCAACGTTCAGACGTAAGCCTCTAGAAGCGATGATATGATTTCAAAATCGAGCCTTACACTACCAACTCACACTTCACATGTGTCATGAGTGGGAACAAATGCGTTGCAATGCAGGTGGGAGGTGAAGAGAATTTACACATGTCGTTTCGGCGAACAAGCCTGTCGTCGAGCTGAGCAAGCAGCAAAAACGGCACACCATCATACCGATGGAACAACAACTCGCTTCTAAAACACTACGCCCGCAAACATTTCGTCTCGACTTAAAATCACCCCAACTGCGATGCGCCGCGGCGGCAGTGAAGTCTCGGGTCACTGGTACTCCCAGGCGACCGGCGCGCGGACGGTCCACCGGGTCCAGACGATATGACTGCCGGGGTCGGACCCCACTCCCGGGCCCCGCTCACAGCCATCCCCGTGCAGTCCCGGCCCGCAGAGTCCCGCCAATGGCACCACGTCACAGCTGCTGGATCAGCTCACAGCGGCCGGGCAAAGCGACACCATAGGCCAGCGACACCACAGGCCAGCGACACCACAGGCCAGCGACACCACAGGCCAGCGACACCACAGGCCAGCGACACCACAGGCCAGCGACACCATAGGCCAGCGCCAACAAGCAACGGTACTGACGCAAAGAGCTAACGGAAATCGCTGAGATTACCCAGCGATTCCAACAAACGCTGAAAAAAACTCGGCTAAAAGCAGTATCAAGTTTGTGTTGCAGATGAAACTGCGGCGTGACAGCGGAATCGCGCAGTATTCCGCGGGGTAGGGTCGGCGGTGGGGGACATCCCTCACGGGTAGTGGGCAGACGCCCGCCGCCGGCAGTGGGTGGGGTCCGCCGGCCGCCACCTGCAGTGGTCAGCAGCCGTCGGCCGGGGTCTGCCGTCCGCCGTGTCAGCCGGTGGCCGGCCGCACGCTGTGGTCGAACTCTGGCCGGGCGCGGTAGTCCAGCCGGCGGTGCGCCACCACACAGCCGACCACCCACTCGCCGGAGACCACGGGCGTCTCGCAGAGGCGCGCCCAGCCGAGCACCGGCGCCGGACAGTCGGCCTCGGCCACCACCACGTCCGGCGCGAACGGCAGCGCAGCCGCCGCCGGGTCCTGCCGCCGGCGTCATACAGTCATGTCAGAGCACACCATCACAGTGTCAGCGCACAGCGTCACATAGTCTCAGCGCCACCGCCGCCGTGTTCTGCCACCAGCACCCTCCCCCCCCCCCCCCCAGTCAGTAATAGTATACAATATATAGTGTCAGCGTACAGTGTCATCACACAGTGTCAGCTATTACAACATTACACAATATAAAAAAAACTCAGCACAACGTTTCACACAGTGTCAGCGAACAGTGGCTGCCCCGTCTGGCCCGTCAGCGAGCAAACAAGCCCGTTAAAGCTCGTCAGACCGGTCCTCACCATCTCCGGTCGGTGTCGGGCCTCACCTGGTGTTCCAGTTTGACGCGCGCTCCGGCGGCGGCCAGCACATCGGCCATCATGTGGCCCCACTCGGAGTCGTCCGCGGCGGCCAGCAGCACGCAGAGGCCGGCCAGCGGCGGCGGCCCAGCCAGCCCCAGCAGCTGGTCCAGCTCCTCGCCCGTGGCCGGGTCGAAGCCGGCCGGTAGCAGGTAGTCCTCGTACGCCTGGCACTCGTTCTGCCGGACCGACAGTGGACAGTCGGCGCAGACCCGACACGGCAGACAGCCGAGCACAGGACACACGGCTCCACTTCGATACTCTGAGACACACTAACGACACTCTGGCCGGCGCCGACTCAGTCTCGGCTAGTACATGGTGCGCCGAAAGTCCTAGCGCTTCTTTTGGGCGTCGTCTAACGAGCGCTGCGATTACTGGACATGCAACCAATCACCAGTCATGACCCCTCGTTCACCGCTCAGCTAGGGTCGCAAAAATATGACCATGAAATCGTTTTCAGTGATGGGTACAGTGATGTAGATGCGCTTTGTCGCTGAGAGCCCGCGTGCGGCCCGAGGGAGGTGCGAGTTGCAGCGCGATGCGGCATTTTTCGGCGAACGGTCGAGCAGGCAAAGGTGCATTCCGACTCGATAATTTATTAGAAAATATTATCAATCAGGTACGACCACGGTATGCCGAAACTGCCGAGATTGAAGCAGCATTTCAGCGGCAATTGAAGAAAATCCGGGGGTCTGATGGACACAAATGTTCCATCATCTTCGTCAATGTCAAATAAATGAATAACAGGCAGGTCCACGAGGGGTTCCTGGGAGTTACCCTAAAGGTCACTTCGCATTTCAATAGCACCGAGCGCCCTCCATCAATGCCGTTGCCGTCCAAGTCAAACTGACAGTAGCTCGGCGGGCCAGATCACCGTGGCGAAATGAGATTGGGCCGCCTTATTCTCCTAGCCTAATCCACTCGACTAAGGCATGTTACGCGTTTTGCAGAACAGGATCCAGGCTATCTCTCACTCCAACCTGGAATCGCTGGAGGCTCGCATCATGACACCATGGGAGGACCTAGAAATGTCATACTCCGTAAAAACCCGCAGGCGCTTCCTCCCCTACGCCGAGGCCGTCGTCGGCGCAGACGGTGGTTGTAGCGAATAAGCTCGTGGCGGAAGTATGTGGTTTGGTGTCCCTATTCCTTGTCTCGATCTATTGTTGAGTATCTATGAACCAATGGCATTTAAACAAAAAATGCTGAAAAGCGCCAGGACTTTCCGCGCACCCTGTAGTCAGCAGCGCGGCACAGCCGGCCGGCCGGCCGTCCGGCCCACTCACCCGTCGGATGGAGTCCTCCAGCCAGGTATACAGCACACACGGCACGCCCATCGCCAGGCAGGAGATGTACTTGGGCGTGCGGACCGGCCCGTTAGCCAGCAGCAGCAGGTCGCCCTGAGCGCGCACCCGCTCCAGCGCCTCCGGCGTCAGCGTGGTGTCCGAGAGCACGCGGCCACAGCGCGCCTCGATGTGCTCCGTCACGTGCTCCTTGTCGAACGGCGCTGCCGGCGGACAGGCGGACGGTCAGCGGACGGTCAGCGGACGGGCGGTCAGCGGGGGGACGGAGCCGGTCCGCGGACGAGTATGACGGGGGAGAGGTGCGCCCGCCTGACACTCACAGGGCCAACAGTCACTGGAGGGACGTCAGACTTGACGGTAAACGAAGCCCGATGTGGCTCAAACTTCAAGTCGAGTTAACAACTAAAGGACGAAGTTGTAACAAGTCACTAAAAGCAACACCATTCCATGAGTTCAATCTCAGCTTGTTAGCGGCAAAAGAAATCACGGACGACACCGGGACAAAGTTGTCGGGCATTCACTTTATGTGGTGAATGAAGTACGTACAAGCATCAATATGTAGTTACCACACAAAATCGCTCAATAATGTCCTCTCAACACGGCACTAGCAATAGCAAACTAGAAGAGTAACAAATTGAACAAAGCACCACCCAGGATCGTGACAGCCATTGGATTCAGCCCACAGCGCCGCGTAACCCCACCGTCCCGTTCCCTGGCGGCGGGTCTTACGGCGCAGTTTCCTTTTCATACGCTTCCGGTAGGCGTCTCCGTGAGCGGCGCCGCCGTTCGTCAGGATGAAGGTGTGCTCTGTGGACAGGGGGCGGGGGCGGGGGCGGGGGCGGGGGCGGGGGCGGGGCGTCAGCTCCCAGCCCACCGGCCGCCGACCGCGGCGGTCTCTTTCTAGGAACTGTCTCTGCCGACGTGTATGCACGCGGAGTCAGGCTATACCAACGTCAGTTTAGGAATGTACGACTTAGAGTGTACGAATAAGGTACACATTCTATATTACGGTAAAAACGACATCACCAAGTTTGTACCGAAAGTCTATTTAGGCTTAGTTTCTATAGACAATATGCTGAAAATGCTGCGTAGTTGCATGAATCAGCTATAAACAATACATTGAATCTATCCAATGCAGATTTAAGAAAATCATTCCAATTCCTACAGTTGTACGTCCAGTCTTGACATATCTGCAGACTACAAAATGACACTGCCAGTCAGCAAGACTTCACACTCGTTTCCCTAGGAGCACAAAGACGGAGTAGTTCGTTTGGACTTACTGGCGAACAGGGAGCTCGGAGCGTCGGGTAGATCTCCCAGCGGCCGCACCGGAGGCGCGCCCTCTGCCGGAGAGCAATCGCCGTTAGTCACGAGCAGTGGAGAGCGGCTGTTACACCGGTGCGATTTTCAAACTGGCAGTAAGTGAATACATCACCTAGTCATGTGCTCACGCTTAGCTCATCCCACTTTTCTTATCATGTTTTTATCGCAGTATATGTTTTATCGTGTGTAATGTGGCATTATGTGTATGTACAACTTGTCGATATTTTAGCGTCACTTTGCTTTTACAACATGTATGACGGGAGACTCGAATAGCCACGGTGTGGATGGTCTCAACAATACACGAAACGAAACGATCCGCTGACCTGGTAGTGGTCAGCGCGGAGTGCGGGACAGACACTTGACAGCGATGATAAACTCACTATCGAGTTCTGATTGATAGTGAAGTATTGATGCATGAATGACTGGTATCTGCTCATGATGGTAATGCAATTAGTCTTTTTGGACATTGCTGTAATCCCCTATTTCCCCTGAAGAATTCAAAAGACCGCGCGCACATATGATCCGCTGAACCGGCGGTGTTCTAGGATAATATCGTACGCGGAGCCGCCACCGGCGGAGCTCCGCGGGGAGGGGACCCGCCCTGGGTGTGACCGGAGACGGTAAAGGCCGCCCCAAAATGGACCTCGCATGCAGGTTGCGGGTTTTGGGTTTGCGGGATAATACTCATTCAAACAGTGATCGAATCATTCTCCTACGGTTACTACATACATGAATGCTGTGAAGCCAATACACCATCAGAAAATTACATATTGTCTCAATAACATCACAACGTTCCAACAACCGACTCCGACAAAACACACCATAACTCGCAGCCCTCGCAGCGAGGAAAATCGAAAGTTGACTCAAAATCCACTTTTGGAATAAAATGCGATGTGGCTCGCGTATTAAAAACTTGCAGATTCGCTTGTTAGATGTCAGTGTCAGTCGCTCAACATAGAATGTATTCTTCATCTTTGAAGAAACCCAAAAATCCAAAAACTCGCAACCCGCATGCGAGGTCCAGTGTGGGGCGACCTTAAGACTCGGGGAACTCACCCTCGGTGTGGCTGGATTCGGTGGCGCTGGTCTCGGCGGACGGGCTCAGCGCCAGCCGTTTGCGGCTGCGGCGGCCGGCGGTGGCCGCTACCGCCGGGCCGGCCGGCTGCTCGCCCGGCGGGGACGGCTCCTCGGAGGCGGGGCTGGCCGCACCGGCCCGCTTCCTCCCCCTGCCGCTGCGGCTCACCGGCGTCGCTATGGGCTGCGAGGCCTTCTGTGCCGAGCCGCTGGCCCGTTTGGCCGCAGCTCCGGCAGCCTTCTGCTCCGAAGTAGTGGCGCGCTTCTTTCGTCCGCTGGGCGTCGCAGTGGCAGCGGCAGAGGCGGCAGCAGCCTCGTCTGTCGGTGTGGAGGTCGTGGCGCGCTTCCTGGCCCGTCCGCTGGGTGTGGCGGCGGCGGCAGCGGCCTCTTCGGTGGGCGTGGAGGCGGTGACGCGCTTCTTTCGTCCGCTGGGCGTCGCAGAGGTCGACGCCACCTCCGCGCCGCCGGCTGGGAAAAGCAGAAAACAGAAAACGCTTTTGTTAACTGCAACCACTGCTGATGGTGGAATTCTATTCATAATTAATCCACAATTGGCAAAATATTACTGCACAACCCTTGTTAGCATATGTGGGTTGAGAAGCAATGGCTGATATTACCGCTTGCCAGTGTTACACAATTCCGGACCCATCAGATAATGATCGTTATTACGTTTCTCACTTGCACCGGTCCTTCGCCACGGTGCAGTGGCGTGCTTGCAATAAACAGTTGGCATGGTCATTAGGACAATTATCAACACCCCGGTGTCTTACGTAATCATAAGCCGGGAGGAGTTATAAGACAATTTGACGTATAAGACAATTTGACATCGACCGAGATCTCAAATGATGTGTGAGCAGAGGCTTAACAACAGTTAGACTCGGAAAAATTATTCAGTGAATACAGTAGCCAGCTTAATGGAGCACCCTGTAGAAAAGAACAGAAACTAAGGGTTCCGCCACCTTCCGTCGTCGCTCTTGACGTGATATTTCCCACATAGTCTGCTACCGAAATACACTAAGACGGGCGTCACTTTGGGAAATTTATTGGTAGGGTTCAATGCTCAATTGCAAGGGCATCAACGTCATTCATATTATGGAAATGTCGTAAGGTATTGGTCACCGAAACTATTGGTACGGCTCGGACCTCGCCAGCTACATATTTAAAACGACATCTATGCCAATAAACATTTATTTCAATGTCGATGAGCATTAAGCACCCACTGCAGTGAAGACGAACTCAGACGCTCATGTACCGTGATCCTAGTGAATGGCCCAGTTATCCATGAACAAATAAAAATCACATAGGTCCACGAATGCAAACCACGAATGAAATACAACACAGCAAGATACTATGAGCCTTTGCCACAGACAACATATAACCTTTAGATATTAGATGCCTTCCTGTCATGTAGAACGACCACGCCAAATAACATGTAAAATGATTAAATAAGTATAAACAAGACACTTGTACATAAGCGTAGGAACCATGGGTGCAAGGGTGCAGCTGCACCCACAATATTTATCCAGTGGGTGCAGACAATGTATTCTGCACCCACAATAATCTGAACCAAAAACCCCTTTTTCATCAACATTACTTCCCATGCAGCACGGCAAATTCAGGATATGTTGCCTACTATCCATCTTTCGAAGCATTTGCTACTGTGATCAGTGATGGTCTTCAAAACTTACATTTGTGCTGAAAAAAAAGGAAATGGAGCATGTGATTGAACACATACCGAACCGATGACTCACTGTCAAAAATTTTAGCCCGATATCTTCGAAAATGGCTAAGTTGGCCGCTTTTAGTTTTTGCGGTAGTCAATATTGACAATATTAGCCCTCGAATATGTGCAGCGTTTTCCAGCTTCTAATGTGTAGGGGGAGGGGGAGGGGGGTCGGTCGGACCCCCTGCCGTTCGGCCCCTGATCGAGCTAGAGCTTCGCGGAAAAAACGAGGGTGTTGCCCGTGACGAGAGGAAGCCGATGATACCCAATTTTAAGGTCCTACTTCATTGGTTGACCTTCCAGGTCAGGTCAATATTCCAAAAGTCGGGAAAATCGGGACCTGCTAGAACTGCGTAAAGTGAAGCTGTTATCGGGTTTTTCGGGGTGCTGATCACGAATATCTGATGTTAGTTTTGATCACAGATGATTTCTTCATGCATTTAGGCCAGATCGGGTCAGGTCAGGTCAGGTCAACCATTAGGCGTCCTACCGGCTATCCATAGTAGGTGTCAACTACCACTGACGGCGTCGTAGCTAGAGATTGCAATCCCGGGATCGGGAACCCGGGATCCCGGCGGGATTTTAATCCCGATCCCGATCCCGAAATTCCGCCAATCCCGGGATCTCGAAAAAAATCAGTTTTTCACCATAAAAAGAATGTAGCCGCTGCACGAGTCTTGTTTACACTGTTAATGGTGCTGCGTGACATAAAGCAGAGAAACAGTTTAGCTGGCACCCCGTATCGGCCGTCCACAATCGACCATGTTGGAAGCTCCCGGGCACCACCCACAGCGGTTAAACCGCTCAAATGTGTACGAAAAAGGGTCCCGAACGCCAACAAAAAAATTGCAGCATCAGTGCTGCAACATCTTTATCAGGATCACGGATCGTTCAGCGATTCTGACTTGTCCGTGCGTGGCCGGAACAAAAGAGGTCATCAAGACAGTCTTTGAGCTCGTGTCGCAGAAAAATGTCACAGATGTCACGACGTTGAAGACGGTAGAGTGGAGCTCTCCCAGTCAGTGACTCTCCCCTCAAAGCGACTTTGGAGCAAAGTCTGAGAGACATTAGTGATGGAAGTAGAACCGGAAGGAGGTGAAATGACCAAGTGACGTCTTGAAAACATTGTGAAATAGGGAGCTGCCAAATTTGGCGTACACTGGTCGCGAGTTTTAAAGGGACCCTCCCACCTTCAAAAAGGTTTATGAATTGGCATGAAAGTGGTGTCGCTCGGTTCAGAAAGAGCGAAAACGAATATCTACCAAATTTCATCGAAAAATATTCACCGGTTTTCAAGATATTAGACTTTTACTTTTGTTTACTTTTTGGGATCTCCGCTGTTCCTAGCGACTTTATTTGGAAGCAATAGTTTGGCAGCTGAAAGTGCGGCACTTGTTGCGCGCAAAGCAGCATATACCACCGCGTGCTACAAAACGTTTTAGTCAAACATTTCAAAATCGTTAGATATCTGCGCTGACGTCACACATTCAGAGGGGTATTCCTATGCATTAGGGGGAATATACCCCTCTTTCTGAATCAAAATGGTGCAATTTTGAAATTCAATATTTCCGATTTAAGGCATTTCTTGATGTTGTGAGTGCCAAAACCGGTAATTGTGAGCCAGGGACCCCATTTTGGCTATCTCAACTCAAATCTAATGTTAAGGTGGGAGGGTCCCTTTAAAATAGAGACCTACCAGCAATGGCTTAAAACTGTCGCGCTAAATACGAGTAGGCAGTAGCGTAGACGAAGAGTGAGTGAGGCGTGGATGTGCTGGAACGGCCGTCTTAATGACGAGATGAAGTAGTAAACGCACTGGTCGACGCACAGTTTTATAAAGGCCAATTGGGAATAAATGCTAATCAAATCGAAACGTTTCCTTCGCAAATTCAATCGTTTTTAATGCAAATGACATGGTCTAAGGATAGCTTTTGGTTGCCACTTTGTTTGTGGTAAGCTAAAAGACGCAAAACATGTCAGTAGGAAATTATTCTTACGACCTTTAGTGACTAGACCGGGATCCCGGGATCCCGAAATAAAAACTTTCGGGATCCCGGGATTGCCAAAACGTTCCGGGATTGCAATCTCTAGTCGTAGCATGTCACGAAAGCACTAAAACTACTTCGTAAACGTTCAAATGGATGCTAAATTCGAAATCAGCCCTATAAACTACCCTAGAAACATGTAAAACTCGAAAAAGTGAACCGAGGTCATCAAAGGTCAATGACCTGACCTGACCTTCAGGTTATCTTCACACCCACCGTGATGCATGGGAAGAACATCATTTCACATGTTTGGACGTCTACAATCACAAAAAGACTGGAAATGCGCGGATAATGTGAGCTGACATACGCCAAATCGCGATTCCGGCCGCACATGGTCTCGAGAATCAGGTCACAGGTCAAAGGTCTTTTGGGTCAGGGTCATGAAATTTTTAGAGTAGGTGTAAAACTGATCAACTCGAGGGAACTAAAAGTTTCGTCGCGATCGGCCGCTTTTTGCGCGAGTTATTTGCGAACAACCATGGGGGGGGGGGGGTTCATCCGACCCCCCTACACATGCGAGGGTCAATGCTTCCAAATGCACTTATCGGTTGGTACCTTTTCGACATGGTACACCCTCAAAGCTCGTAACGAGCCTTCGCTCGGGTGTCGCCCCCCCCCCCCCCCCGCTTCACCGGCCATGGCTGGATTTCTGCACCCATGCACCCACAATGCTCCAGCCGTTCCTACGCCCATGCACTTGTATGCAGGTTAACACGCAGCTCCTTCCATTATGCATGCATTTATGACCCGTGAAACTTCACACGACAATATCTAGGACGGCCTCACGGTGATATCTGAACGGTGGCACCGCCGGACAAACGCGCCATACGCTACCCTGCAGGAGAGCGGAACGCCGTAATAGGGCCCCTCAGAACGGCCGGGAGCCCGAACGAGAACAGAACGGCTGGGAGCCCGAACGAGAGACGGCAGAGGCGGCGGCGCATCTCGCAGCGGGCCGTGGAGAGCGGCCGAGTTCCCAGCGCCTCCGGCCGACACCCAACACTCCATCACGGCGCGCTCCCACGGCACACTACGGCCGGCGGAGGAGCCGCCGGACCGCCCGCCAGCCGGCACACACACGGCGCGGGCACCGCCGGCGGCCGGCACGCGCCGCACGCACTGGGACCGCCGGGCCGGCCGTCCGCCCGTCACCGCAGACCGCGGCGCCGCAGCCGGCACACTTTCACGGCCAGACGCGGAACCGGCCGGCGGGGGAGGGGCCATGGCCGCCGTCCAGCGGCGGCAGGATCTAATTAGAGATAAAATCCAGGCTAATCGACTCATTCCACTCCAGGCCTGACCAATTATTGCACATGCCGCCACCACCCTGATGCCACCAGCAGCTGCACGGACTCTTATAGCAAACCACTCGCGGTAGACGCAGCACAAAGCCACCAGTTTACCTGACTGTGCGGCACCATGTAACCCACGCCAGTCTGTCCGTCTAATTAGGCGGTGAAAGCCTCGGGAAGGTCCCTGCTGGCGCCCGGCGATGATACCTCGTGTGATCAATGTCACCCGACTCAGTCGAGTGGAACGCACCAGCACGCAACCACTAATCATCGGCAACACTTGCAACGCTGTCGGGGTATAAACGGTACCTAGCACCGGAACTGCTGACCGGGCATCACCGACACCGCTGTTCAGCACCACCGCGCCGCTGTCTGGGTACCAGCAACACAGCTGACCAGGCGTCACCG